AAACCAAGCTCCCATCTGCCTGTTCAGGGGGATGGTAAAGATCCCATGGCATTATTCGAAAAGAGAAGGGAGACCACCTAATATTCCCCAAATTAAAATTGGTCACTAACTGTATGAAATTAGAGGTGGAATGCCAGGCCTCTGAAGCAGCAAGTTTGTGGTGGTTGGTTTGTAGTATGGTAATTATCATCAAGAAAAATAAAGGTTGTTGCCAAGAATGTATCTTAAAATGGGCTGTGCAAAACCATTTTCTGTCCTGATGATAATTATCACATGGCTCACCACAAATTTTCTTGTGTTGTGTGGTTTGTTGTGTTAGTCGACCAGTCGACTACGCCATCCTCCTCCACTGCCTCACCTTCCTCATCTACCTCAGTGGTACTGCACTCGCATGGTTTGAGTCCTATTTAACCAACTGCCTCCATTTCATCTCAGTAAATGGTTTCTCCTCCCGCCCCCATCCGGTCACCTGTGGGGTATCCCAGGGCTCCATCCTTGGCCCTCGTCTTTTCCTTATCTCTATGCTCCCTCTGGGCGATGTCATCCGCAGACACGGGGTAAACCTCCACATGTATGCGGATGACACACAAATCTACTTTACCTTCTCCAATACCAATTCCAAGTACACCGATGTTCTATCAGATTCTCTGGCAGACATCAAGGCCAGGATGAGTGTAAACTTCCTGCAGCTGAATATGGACAAGAAGGAAGCCATACACCTTGGCTCCCTTCAACATCTTCACTCCTGCAGAGCTAAACTCCTCAACCTCCCTGGGCTCTCCCTCAGACTCACCAAACCAGTGCGCAACCTAGGCATCCGGTTCAACCCCCAGGTGTCTTTCCTCTCCCACATTTGATCCCTGACCAGGACTGCCTTCTTCCAACTCCTCCACGTTGCCTGCCTCTGACCGTACCTTACCCCAACTGCAGCCAAAACTCTCGTACATGCATTTGTCACCTCCTGCTTGGTACTCCAATGCACCCCTCGCCAGTCTCCCCAGCTCCACCATTCAAAAGATTCAGCTCATTCAAAACTCTGCCGCCCGCATACTGACCTGGACCAAACTCCTTACCCACTCCTCCCTCTCCTGTTCTGGCCAGGCTTCACTGGTTCCCCAATACCAAACGGATCAACTTCAAGATCCTCACACTCGTGTACAAATCCATTCACTCTTTGGAACTACCTCTCCCACCTCCTCACTCTCCAATCCATCACCCAGCGCCTCCGCTCAACTGGTACCAGCCTCTTGCTCATCCTTCGCAACCTCTGCCCCACCATCGGAGGTCGCGCTTTCAGCCACTATGCCCCAAAAGGCTGGAACACTCTCCCTCAATCCCTCCGCCTTGCCCCCTCTCTCAAGTCCCACCTGAAAACTTTCCTCTTTGAATGTGCTTATGGCCACCTCCCCAGGCTTGGAGTCAGGCTCCGCCACTGTTAAGCACTCTGAGACACTACTCTGTGTGGAGGGCGCTATTTACGTGCAAGTTGTTGTTAACAAAAAAAACTCTGCAATTATTTATGCTGCAGACTTGTTGTTGAGCTATAACATTTCTGAGTGATGGCTTTAGTAGTTTGACCTGACCAGAAACAAATGGGTCTGTGTTTGTGGTCTAACTGAACCAATCTATTATTTGATTTAAAGCATGAGAGGAAATCATATGATGCTGTCTACTGAGCTCAAAGAGTTTCTTATCCCCAGCTTTCAGGAATTAAACAGCTGGTTCCCCTATACATCTGATGAATGATGGGATGGCATATTAGACCTATTCAAAAATAATTTAATTCCCTTTCAGATAACCTGGACTGGACAAATATTCATCAGTAACTGAGAGGCATAGAACCTATTCTAACAGGATTCCAAGTATAAAATTGAGTGGGATTCCAGCAAAAGAAAATGCATTGTGCTGATCCACAGGAATTCTGCTCTGAACATAGATTGTGGGAGCGAAGTTCTTGCTGGTGTATGGAACATTTTTTCAGTTTCCACTGTTAGCCCCCTGGTACGTTGCCCAAGTGGCCGTTGTTCATGTGTGAGTCTTGCCGGTGAGTATGGAAGATGTCGTAGCCGAGCTTAATCTTTTTCGGCTGAACTGCCATGCATGGGCACAACCAGAAGAGGGTGCTTTAGAGGGACTGGGAGCGAGAATCCTGTCTGGTTTTCCCCTCCGTAATTGGGGCCAATTTACCCTGTCCGTGCAGTCCAGCTAAAACCAGCAAACTCAGCATAGTCTGGAATTCAAACCAACAAGCTTCTAGCCTCTAAGCTGCAGCTCTATCCTCTGCACCATCAGGGCTGTTTAGCATTCATCTTTTTTAATTCAAGACAATTGCTCATTAGTTGAGAATTGCCACCTCCTTTAGTTCCTTACGTTGAGTCAAAATTAGTACTGAGGTCACCGATAACTTAATAATAAACCTTGTATTTGATTTACCAACTTATCATATCAAATTTGCTGTAACTTACAGTCATTTTTTCTTTGTAGGTGAACGAGGCAGCCAACTTGCACACAGAAATATCTCACAAACCGCCATGAAACAAATGACCAATTTTAATAGTTAGTTAAGGCAATCAGTGAGAAATTGAGTTATACCAACCAGAAGTTCATAGGTTTGAAATCCTGGTCTAAGCGAGCAAGGGGGAAGCAGCTGGGTTGCTGAAAGTTGCCTGGATTCCTAAGTTATGGACGGTGGGATGTGTGTGTGTTGAGTAAGTACAGGATCAGTCTTCCCTGATGCCCCCAAATTAGTCAATAATTCCCTAACACTCTGCACCTATACTGACATATGATGAACACTGGAGGTTGTCCATGGGCTATTTTGCAGCACGAGTCTCCTCCTTCAGGAACCGACTTCCTCACTCCTCAATCCACCACCCAGCACCTCTGTTCGACTAGCACCGGTCTCCTACTTGTCCCTCGCACCCTCCACTGCATGATTGGAGGTCGCGTTTTCAGCCACTATGCGCCGAAACTGTGGAACACTCTCCCTCAATCCCTCCACCTTGCCCCCACCTGAAAACCTTTCTTTTTGACCATGCTTACAGTCACCTACAACCCACACCCACCCACCCACCCACCCCCTGCCCCCCACGGCTCGGAGTCAGGCTCCGCCACTGTTAAGTGCTCTGAGACTCTACCCTGCATGGAGGGCACTATATAAGTGCAAGTCGTCGTTGTTGTAGGGTGAAACCACACAAAACAACCATGGTTTTACTGCTGTCAAAGTAAGTCAGCTCGGGTGTCTAAGATGTGGATCGAGATAAACCTCACAAAACATTTGGCAGAAATAATCACAACAAATGCTGTCAGGGGTAGTTCACTGTCACAATTTTGAAATCGATGTTTCCATTCTAATGTTTGAAACCTGAAAGTCACCACTCCTGTTTGGCGGAGGGGAGTCATTGTCTGGCCAATGTCAGAAGTTGCTGGAGTTTCATTGTCTCACTGTGATAACAGAGCTCGTGATAGCTTCATTCTAAGCTGCGTCTGACTGAATCAATTCAGCACCACTTTTGTCATTTTAAACTCCTCTCTAAAACAAATAGACGCTCTGGACAGCAGGCAGCACAGTATGCAGCTGCCAGCCTGAAAAAAAGGCTGAATATATCTCTTCCCCCATCGTTTGGAACTTTCCCTCGACAAATCTCCTCAAAACCGTTGTTTGTGGTCTGTATTTCGCATCTTAAAGTGACTCCTAGGAACATGACCCGCTGTCGTAGACCTGAGGAAAAAGGTACAGATGACAATGACATTCAGATTTTTTTAAAAAAAGTGTTTAGTTGTCTTGTAATTGGCATCTTTTACCCCCCAAAAATGAAATTAGGAATAAAAGAAATACTTGCATACTTACTGTACTTTCTCACGTCAAAACACCTTTCAATTGACTGTTTGTAAGCAAGCAAGTCAGCCTCGATTCTTTGATATTGGACCTGTAAACTGTTTTTTTTAAATCTATGATCACAGACTGTTGTGAATTATAGTAGAGACAACATGCATTAAAAATTTAAACCCTACCATCCTGCCCGCTCATTCCACTCGACAAGCACTGGTCTGCTTCACGTCTCCCAGCCTGCCCACCCTACTGTCTGCTGTTGGGCTGTCCAGCGCCTTGGGACGTCCTCCCGACATGAAATGCATGATATAACTGCACTTTGTTGTTGCTGTTGTTGATGTGTATTTTCTTCCACTCTCTAAAAAACTCTCCCAGAAGTACAAGTTCTGACAATAAGGTAGAAGTAGCAATAGGTAAGCGCTCTGAGACACTACCCTGCGTGGAGGGCGCTATATAAGTGCAAGTTATTGTTGTAGTAGGTCGGTCTTTTTGAGTTTATGCAATGGGTAAGCAATATTAAATGGCCAGTTGGCAGGTGGTTTCTCTGCAGGCAGCTGTGTTGCTGTTTTCCTCAGTGAGTTTCTTTGGACAAGAAGTTCGGGAACTTTTTTATGTTTTGTATTTTTTTAAAAAAAAAACAAAGACGTAGATGAACAAAGTACAATGAATGGGATGTGCGTTTAATGTTTTTTTAGGCAGAGGTACAAATTGTAGAGATTTGTACAGCTGAAATCAAAACCCGTCATGGAGATTTCCTTCCAATCTTGTATGGTCACTGGAAGGAGGGGAAGTTAGAGTAAGCAGATGTCGAAGCCAGTGGCTTACCCAGATGTAGGAAGAGCAGCATCATGAGTCCAAATACAGCATTGCTTTACGCTGCAGACATGCTGGACTCTGTGGCCTTGCAGCTCCCTGCTCCCCAGCAAAGTTATACTATTTTTGCAGTAGCTTGAGTGTTGCTATTGATGATATAATTCAGAGCTCCAGCAGTACAAAGATGCTTCTCAATGAAGTAGTTCTGTAGCAGAAAGAAGGACATCAGTCTTGAGCTGGCATGATTTGTGACCTAGCAGCACAGGGCAAACATACTGTAAGAGCCTCCTTTCAGATTCACCTTTCGTACCAGCTCAGTAGCATTTGTGTTGATTCCATTTTTGTTTCTTAACAGAGAACCAGAGACAAGTGGGAGAGAGAAGAATAATTAAGCCCCCATCTATGTTGCCCCCACCATTGCCTTTGACACAGCACAGCCACCTGCTCAAAACACAGAGGAAGCAGCAACTCACCACGGTAAGACCATATTTTACATGCATTTGGATATCAGGTTCAGTTTATACTTCCTTTAGTAAAGGTATAGGGCATATACAGGACTATGAATGTATCCCATCCACAGGCACTGCATGCCCAGGACCTCGGCGGGTGGCAGTGGGGTGGGGTGTTGGTGTCCAAGCAAAGTTCCAGTGGGATGCACTCAATACCAGGAGTCTGCAGAATTCACAATTTTCAAATTATACACCAAATATCACAAGTTACACCCAAGAGATTATCATCAACAACAACAACTTGCACATATATTGCACACATATTTATAAACCCTTCACGCAGGGTATCGACTCAGAGCACTGTTCAGATGATCAAATGCTTAATGGAAGTTATGTGCTGTTGGAACTAGTGAAACCGCAGGAATATGATATATTGAGAGCAACCATCTAGAGTTGATGACACGGTGAGAGATACAACAACAACAACTTGCATATATATAGCCCTATTCATGCAGGGTAGCATTCCAGAGCATTTCAAGATAGGTAGATATTATGGAGTTTTTTGTTCGTTTACATTGAGGAATGAAGTTAGGGAGAACATCTGCAGACCTTTCCCTCATAAGATCAAAGAAAGGTCTACGATGGAATAGTTGGTACAAGCTCTGTTGGAGGAACAGAATTGATGCCACAATGAAAGTTATGCTACTGAATTATAATTGAGAATTGCAAGTATTCAGGATCCCATTTATGAACATTATTTCAAATTCAGTTAGACGTGAGTCAAGAAGTGTAAATTGGTTTGCTGAAAGCATCCCTTTATTGTTAAGATAAGTAATGTATTGCAAACTATTTGTTAATTCCAGAGGAAATCAACACGGAATGTAATTCAGTCATTAAAGTAGCTTTGTTTGACCTCAATGGATTCACATATTCTAACCAGGACATTATGTTTAATCTAAGTGACTAATAGTTTGTATAAATTCATTGCTGAATTCATTGTGTTGAATTCCTGTGTACTTTATAATATGGGAGGATAGGGGGAAAACTAGAAGATGTGTTGTGTCATCTGTAAATTTGTTTAAGAACTCCAGAAAACTTTCTTCAAAGTTGAGATGGAGTTTAACAATTAGCTAAATTCTGGCCCGATCCAAAATATAACAAACAGTAAATCTAGACAATGGTGGAATTATCTCCCCAATAAATTTGTAACAAATAACAGCGTATTGCACTCCTATGTCCATGCAGAATTGATTGGTGGTATTTAAAGGATAGATACAGTACTTAGGAAGTAAGTCTTAGGGGATATGAAAAAAATGCAGAGAAATGCGATTAAATAATCTGTCATGATCTCACAAAAAGTTGAACAGGCTCGATGGGGTGCATGGCCTCACATACTCCTGTGTGCCTAGGTGTCAGCCTGGCTCAGTTGGCTCACCATCTGAGCAAGAAGGTTTGTGGGTTCAAGCTTCATGTCTGACTTTGAACTCACATAGTCTAGTCTGACACTTGTATGCAGCATGCACAAAGTGACATCAGCAAAGACTTGACATCTTGAAAGCAACCTATTTTAAACAAGATATTCAGAGCTGGAAAGCAGGTGTACCACACTTCCAGTAGACCCTTGCCATGCTCATGGGGAGTCTATGCTCAAACATGACGCAGTCTAATAGAGCCCTGTACAAGACAATGACAAAAGGAGGAGGTTAGAAGGCATTTATTTTACATTAGACTATGGAGTGATTTACCCAAAAATGCTTTTTGAAGCTGAATCCATAACAGGAAAATATTAAAGGATACAAGGAAACAGCAGGAAAAGGGAACTAGAATAAATACTTTCAGTGGAGAACTAGTACTAGCATGGAAATGATGAGCTGAATGGCCTCCTTCTATGCTGTTTAAGTAAATGCAACTGAATTATTACTCTGAATATATCGCGTAACAGTGCAGTGATTTGCATTAATGATGGCTCAGTAAATTCAAACAAAGGGTGCTGTAGGCTGCAGTGAATAACATTCAGTGTGAGCCAATGGACTGCCAAGAAAATCGTTCTGGAGCCTTATTCAACTCTTGGGAGCCTGTTCATGTGCATCTACTTCTTATTGTTCTGTAGGCACTGCAAGACATTTCCTTGGCAGCATCACGTATTTGGCAGATTGCTTTAGATCTCTACGCTAATTAATTACGCTGCTTCTTTGGCAAATTGTAACTGCTATTTATTAAAAAAATGTAACCCAGTTATTATAGGCATACAATTTGTTAATGGTTTCAATATTAAGTTGATGGATTTTCACAGAAAATTTGCTATTTTCTTAATTTTCTGTGAAAATCCATCAACTTAATATTGAAATCATTAACAAATGGTATGCCTAGGGCAGGTGTTCCAAATGCCCTTCTGCTCAGATTCCAATACGTCATTTACTAGTGTTTGCATTAACAGGGCATGTCATCTTCAAATATCGTTCAACTAGACTTTGATTTCTCTGTGAAATCTGCCTTATTCTTATCATTGCTTATACTTGGTGATTTAGAGCCTTAATGTTCAGCTGGCACTCTGCCACTTTCCAACCTGGTAACCCATGCATGTCCTATTTTAGACAGATTAGGGTCTTAATAGCCATAGAAGAGCCTTCTAGTTGTCACCACATCATCTTTTTATGATAAAACGTGCATCAGACTCTTGAAGCTGAAGGTTCATAGGGATACAGAGTAACAAATAGCTTTCCTGATAAATCTCACCAATGTTCCAAAGGTGGCAGACAGGAAACATTCATCCTATCAGTCTGGGTTCATTTGTAATCCCTTGGTTTAGAGGTTTACACTAACTACCCAATCCCATTGTGAATTTGTAACTTAAATTGACGATTGTATTATTTTGTATTGAAGTTATTAATTGTCATCATGATTTGGGGACAATCTTCAATGCATGTAATTGTGCAAAAATTCTCAAAGTGATGAATGATCTGCAAAATGGATGGAAATTAAGCAGTCATTGCAAGTAGACGCTGACTGTACCTCAGACTCATTTCCGCTGGTGTGAAATGGTCAAGTTCACCAACAGGAGGCTCAAAGGAAATTTTAATGAGCAGGAAACTCCCTTGTGAATACGAAAGTTCTTTTCAATGCAGGAAAACAACAAATTGTGCCTGGAGCAAAAGAATAAAAATAAAAAAGGCATTGGGTTAAATAAGGTGCTCTGAACCACAAGAGAGAACGGGGATTTGGACGAAAAAGTAAGGAGACTTGGAAAGGAAGAGCAAAGAAAAATTGCCAGATTAGCTGTTACCGCAGTGACTGTGAGAGAGCTTTCTATTCCCCACAAGAGCAGTTCTTTGCTAAACAGTGTATGATAAGTGGATTCCAGCTGTGGTTTCTCATTCAATAAATCACCATTGCTGTTCTCTTATGCTGCAGTTAGGGACATGGGAACAAGAGGAAGCCATTCAGCTCATTGAGACAGTTCTATTAGTTTATTAGATCATGGCAGAGTTTTAATCCTATTTTCTTTCTTTTTCTCCTTAACTTTAAAGTATCTAATAGGAACGTCTAGATTGCCGGGAGAGTAGCAATGTGAAGCAGGAAGGTTGATACGTCCACATTGAGACAAACAAAACACAGCAATTTCTGCCCATGTGTGATTTGTTCTTTAATAATATTTAAAATGCTCTGGGAACGTGTGGGAGAGAGTTTGGACAATTGTGTCCTGAAGAATTGCAAAGATTTGCTTTTGCTACAACCCTACCTTTGGCGGCCAAAACCTTCAGGCACTCTGTCCCCTTCCTCTGGAACTGTCTCCCTAAATCCCTCTGCCTCGCCTCTTCTCTCTTTACTTTCAAATCCTGCCTAAGACCTTCCTCTCTGACTGTGCTTTCAGCTACTTCTTCCCCTCTCCCCCACCACACTTGCTCCCACCCAGCTCAGGCTTCTGTTCAACCTTTTTAAAGTTGAAACTTTCACCAAACGTAAAAGACACTTTTGGCCTATCGAGCCTGTCCCATTATTTCCAAGATCGTGGACAAAAATTGTGCTCTAAATATCTGTTATGCATCTCTTTGGCTCTTACAAAATATTGAGTAATGAGAGCGTGGCTTGATTGAATTCAGCCTTTGCTTGGCTGAGATTTTACCTCATCGTTCTTTCTGTTCGCATCTGTGTCTTCCTACCTAAATATGTTACTTAGAATTATGGAAAGGAGTTTCACTTGAAGACATCGAGTGGACAGTTATTTGTGTGTTCAGTATGTGTTGTCCACCATGCTAGAGCAATAGTCAACCATATGAATCAAAGAATAATTTTTTTTTAGTTTTTAAGTTTTATCTCCAATTTTCTCCCTTCTCTTATTGGGATAGTTCTCTTGTTTCTCTTGTTGGAATAGTTTCTTGGGAGCCATCCACCCACCCTTACTTGAGTAGCCATTCTTAATGGATGAGTTCAGGCAATTATGGGGTATCACAGGCATGTGATACCTGAGGACCTTCCTCTTTGACCGTGCCTATGGTCACCTCCCCTCCCTCCAGGCTCGGAGTCAAGCTCTGCCACTGTTAAGTTCTCTGAAATTCTACCCAAGCATGAAAGGCACTATATAAATGTATGTTGTTGTTGTTGTTCTTACTTAACTAACTCAAAAGATTATTAGGCACAGGTTGGTGAGAGTCACATCTAGCTTGTCTTACCCAGCTTTCTGCAACTCCTCGTACACCCACTTTACAGATATTGGAACTAAGGTCAGCTTCTGAGCAAAGGAATGGTTTCAAATGCATCCAGGATTCAATAGTATCAAATCTTTTTGCTGCTTCTTCAATGTGGATCCCAGTATCTACAAATCAGTTTGATGGTTGATGATTCCAGTGTAAAAGGGAGTAACTCAAAAGGATTATCAGCAATTTCATATATCTAGGTCTTTGAAGGTGGCAGGACACTTTGAAAGAGCTGTTGAAAAAGCACATGGGCTCCTTGGCTTTATAAATAGAGGCATAGAGTACAAAAGCAAGGAAGTTCTGCTGAACCTTTATAAGACACTGGTTAGGCCTCATCTGGAATATTGTGCCCAATTCTGGGCACTACTCTTTAGGAAGGATATCAAGGCAGAGGAGATTTACCAGGGATTAGAGACTTTAGTTATGTGGAGAAACTAGAGAAGTTGTGATTGTTCTGCTTAGAGCATTTAAGGTTAAGGGGAGATTTAATAGACGTAGATTTAATCCACCACCTGGCACCTCTGCTCCTGGTACCAGCCTCCTGCTCGTCCCTTGCACCCTCCGCCCCACCATCGGAGGTCGCGCTTTCAGCCACCATGCCCCAAAACTCTGGAACGCTCTCCCTCAATCCTTCCGCCTTGCCCCCTCTCTTCCCTCTTTCAAGTCCCGCCTGAAGACTTTCCTGTTCGATCGTGCTTACGGCCACTTCCCCCCTCCCCCCTCCCCCAGGCTTGGAGTCAGGCTCTGCCACTGTGAAGCACTCTGAGACGCTACCCTGTGTGGAGGGCGCTGTATAAGGGCACGTTGTTGTTGTATGATTTTATTGTGCTGTACTTACATGAATTGTTTAGGAATCATGATTATTTGTTATTAGCAAAAGGAAATATTTAAATATTCACTCTTAATATTCACTGCGCAAGTGTCAAACTCAACTTAGGGTTCACATTTTAATCTTATTTTGTGAATTGTATTATTTTGGTTTAGTTGCTTAAGATGTTCATGATTCATATTTCATAAGCTGTTAATTCATTTTGTTTTAGATAAATCATTACTTGTTTTGTGTTGTTTGTAGTTTCACAGCACCCGTTCATCTTCCCTCACTGAATGTTGCCAAATGACCCCATGGAGTAGAAAGGTATTGGATTACATCTCACACCTAAGTCTTACTCTCTATTGGTCCTAACTGTGTAACTATAGTGTTTTCCTTCAACTTAACACATTCAACTTTCCTTTCAAATTTCCTTCTATCGTTCAATGCTTGCCTAAATAAGTTATGCTTTAATACATTTAATACTCATAAATATACACTTTACTTTAGCCTTTCCTATATGAAAAAAATCAAATCTCATTGAGCTTCTTATTAATGTTGTGTATTTTCTGCAGACCAATGTGTAAAATGGTTGTCATTTGATGCAGCAATTTGTTTGCTACGATTAACTTATTTACTTTTTCCCCATGAGTGAAGTGATGTTGGAGAATGTCTACACATACATCTGGAGCCCTCCAGTCACTCACCCAAATGGCATTCTTCAAGTATGAACCTAATACCAACAGGTTATTTGTCCCTGGGAGATATCACATTTGAATTGAACTTTTCCCTCATCTGATGTGCATAACGCACAGAATACACACAGTCACACCACTTTACAGAATATCCTGTAAAGTGCTTTGAGGATTCTCAAAGACATGATAATGCAAGGATTTTTATTGTAACTGGGATAATTTCCTGGGCTGACAGGAAATACAGGTGATGTGTTTCTAACCATTCTGTCAGCTGATGGCTCTGCTGAATTGGCTGTTAGAAAACGTCTGAAGACACATAGGGACATTTTCTTCCATTGTCGTATACTTTCTACCTATGCCTAAATTCAGATTGGTCTCCATCTCCCATTGAACGCTAAACTAAGATCAAGAATTTGTTCGGTGGAGAGCCATGAGTGGCAAATGGTTTTCAGCCACTCCTGGTCACCTCAGACTGGAGATTACATCCTGTAAACCCAGCCATTGCTCCGTTGCTTGGTGATGATATTCATATTTTTTTCCGTCAACCAGACACCCGACACATGCACAAATCATAGAACCATAGAAATTTACAGCACAGAAAAAGATCCATCCAACCCAATGTGTAGTCTTGTAGCTCAATGGTTAAAGCACTTGCCTCACAAGCGAGAGGATCTGGGTTTGGTTCCCAGCAGGGAGAAATGTTGGCAATGTTTCCTTACTCTACACACCTCTGTTTACCTAGCAGTAAGTAGGAACACGGTTGCTAGTCAATTGGTGGGTTGCTTTTATGGAGGTAATAATCTCTTCATAAATAAATATATAATAATAAAAATTTGGTCACTTAATCCACGACTGCTGTGCGGAACTGACTGGTACGTTTTGCCCCCAAAACATAGAGTCAATTCACTTTACAGTATATTCTGTGAAGCGCTTTGAGAGTATGGAAGGTGTGATAAGGCGCAATATCAAATGCAAAGATTATTATTATTAATGCACCTCCCCATTGCACAGCCAAGAATAATGTTTGTGAATCCGCTCGATCAGGTTTATGTGTTGGAAGCGAACAATTTGATCTTTAACTTGGAATAATATGTTAGCAAAATACAAGAAAGCATAAAGGGTCCATGCGCTCGACAATTTGTCACTAGTCTATAATGAGGTTACTGGCAGAAAGACATCCTAGGCTCTGTTTTTACTCTACTTATCTTCTCTTTCTGGCAGATTCACAATAGCAAATCCACATCAATACACTGGTAAGATGTTACCTGGAAACCTGGCTTTACTCTCATTTTTTATTAGCCTTGTTGCCTTAGATACATCAGTAGCACGGAAAGAGAAACATAATCAATCTTTGAGAAAAAGAATAGCTAACTGGCTGCTAGCTATTAGATGTCAATTTAATCAACCAGGTCTATGTCGGCTTATACTACGAGTGTGTTTTAGAGCTGATGTGATAAAGTGTAGGAGTGAGGTCACTCATCTTACAAGTTGTTTTCCCCCCTTTGAGAACAAGCAACACATGTGGCATCTCTCGCCAATCTCCTTATCCGGTTATTAAACCGTCGATTCGCAAGGGTTTGAATGCTGCTGGTAACCAGATATGCATCATGCCAACTCACAGGAACGTTGCTCTAATGTGATCTCTGCATAGGCTGCATGTGAAAGGCGGATTGATATGATGCACATTCAGTTCCTGGCAGAATTCAATATTTAGAAATCCTTTGTGCATCCACAACACAACTCCCCCACTATAGAGCCCCATATTCACAAAAAAACAATCTTAATGAATGGTGGAACAGGTCGGGGGGCTGAATGGCCTACTCCTGTTCCTACGTTCCCCACTTATATAATATATATATATATATATATACCAGGGGCTTGTGATGTCATCTTTCATTCCATTGTAAGATTTCATGGCTTGGTGGGCTGTAAAATATATTTGCAAACCCAATTTGTAGTAAACATTGTGACTCCTGCTTTACAAATCTTATTGGGGTGAAATTCTACTTGGGTCTAGGATACTCTTTTTAGCATAGCATGTCAGAGTATATAGTATGTGACAAATTGTGGAATTGAATTATAAAGAATTTACAGAAAACTGGCTGCAAAATTGTATTTAAGAATTTGAGACTCTGGCGCCTGAAATGTTACATCAATAGAATAAATATAGACCCAGCTGGAATTTCTACCCATCTGTTCCTTCATTACTGCAACTGCTAATTATGGATTGCTTTATTGACGAGAAAGTGTTCTCACAGGTTTTGGGCTGAGTTTTCCTCTCCAGATCATCTCTACTTTGAATTTAGTGGAAGATCCCATGTTTTCATTCAAACTGTTCTAACATTACATTTTTGTTTTTAAACGGACTCTGGCCTGCTCTATGTCCCCCGCCCGGCCTGCCCCATAATCGGAGGTGAGGCCTTCAGCCTTTTTGCCCCCACCTTTTGAACTCCACCCCACAGTCCCTTCACCTCATCCCTTCTCTTGCCTCCTTCAAGGTCCATCTCAAGACCCTCCTCTTCGACTGTACCTTCAGTCACACTTCTTTCCCCACCCTCTCTGCCCTCGTGATCCCAACCGCCAGCTCAGGTGCAAATCCTTGACTATCCAGCGCCTTGGGATGTCCTTCTGACTTGAAAGGTGCAATACAAATGTAATTTGTTGTTGCTGTTTTACGTCCATATCTAGCAAAGAAGCATAAATTTTTTTTTCTTCATTTGGCAGATCTCTGTCAAATATTGCCAGAGAAGCCAGTATGATCCAAAACTCTGAAGCACAAAAAGCGAGCTCCACACATGCACTATTCTCATCCTCACCAGGCTCGACTGGCTATCTTTTCCCCAACTAATCGACTTCAAAGCTTTTGTGTAAACCCCTCCAACTCTGTTCTCCTGCTCGTACCTTCTGCTCCTATTCTGGTCTATTGCTCATTCTGCATTCCCTCCTTCCCATTATCGGTGGCTGAGCCTTCAATTACCAATTCACCCCTTTCTCCCATCTTGGCACAAGTGCAAGTTGCTGTTATACAAGGCCCGAGACATTTTAGTTCTGGAAGAATTTCCTCAACCTGGAATGAGATGTAAATCAAATGCACAAAATGTTTATGGGGTTTTTTCTGTTATTATATGCAATGTGGTCACTATATTTCAGATTGCTTCAAGATATTTATCCTATATGAAATTAGCTTTATTAGTGCAAGTATTTTTATTACTGTTTTTACTAATTTGCGTATTGTGGCACACAAACCAAACAATAAAATCTTTGCCTGTTTAAAGTTTGATGACATGGTAAAACTTGTACTTGTCATCTGAAGTGAGAATTAGGAGCAACATTGTTGAAAGTAAGTTAGTTCCACAGTTTGAAACTCAACAGTAATTAAACTTCATATCCTGAGCCCTCCGTTAGCAAGTTACATAAACTGGTTCAAACTCTGTAGTTCATTATTCACACCATGTAATCTTTCAGGGTAGCTGGTGTGATTGATGACAGCATTCCATCCATTTTTTTTGGAGATTGGATATCTGCTTTTCTGATATACATCCTGTTTTGCCAACAACATTTCTAGAAATTATTCACGATGATGTGCAATAACAGATGCTGATCAAGTATTTTTTAAGCCAGGTCTCTATTTTTGCAGTTTTGTAACGCGCGTGAAAAATTTAACCAGTCAGAAGCAGCAACAAGGTTTTAGATACAAGGTCAACAGAGGAACCATTGTATGTACCTGTATTTAGTTTAACTTGTAAGTATATTGGGTGTTTTGTGGGCTCCAGAGAAAGAATAGCTTTATCTCGACAAAACAGACCTTCTTTGTCTCACTGGAGAATGAAACATCCATGAAAGAAGATAAACTTGTTTGAAAACCCAGCTAATTGCTCCCTACGGCATTCTTAATATGCACCCCCTCAAGGAACTGCACCAAAGAAGAAAATAGCAGCCTTCACACACACAAAAAAACTGGTCACTATAGTGATGACAGCGCATCAGGCATGAATCTGGGATAGCTCTCATGTTGGTCACAAGGGCAAACTCCTGACTGAGAAATGAATCAAGATACACAGGGCTCAGAGTTACACTGTAGGGCTGTCATTTGTGCTGCGAGCTGGAGGGTGTTTATCAATCGATCAGCCTCTTCGTGTTGGAAAAGGAAAGTTTGCTGAAGCAGTTGTGTGGAAATAGAAGAGATGCAGAAGGAGCAGAGACTTGCTAAGAGTGTAAGGTGAGGTGTGGTGATGTGAAGGTGCAACGTGTGAATTAGTGAGTAATCGTTATGCTAACTAATGAGCTCTTGTTTGGATCACAAATCTAAGCTTATCCACATTTGTTTTTGTTGAACTCAAATGAAGCATTGTCCATTTGAATCTCAAGTTCTTTAGAAATGTTTGGAAATGAAGCCCTTAAGCCCAAGTAAACTCTTATCTGTATAGTGTACTGTAACTGTGTACTACAATGTGTGCCCTGTTTTTATACAATTAGTTCACAATTGATCATAATCAGAACATTTAAGAGAAGTGGATGGGATGTGCTTTGGTGTAAACATTTATTTGAAAATTATTTTAAAAATCCAGCTTAGAATTCATTAAAAAGCTTGTATTGTTGTACTTACCGTGACTTGATACTGGTTTGGTGATGAATAATTAAGATATAGGAACTGAGAGCAGCCGAATGGGTGTTGTGGATTGTGTAAGTGTGATCACTGCCATTTTTATCATGTGCTTTTTAGAACAGTTTTCCAAAAAGGGAATAGGGCATTTCGCCTTTTTTAAAATATATTCTTCAGTGAAATGCACTGTGCTGTGGATTTTAAATTTAGATCTGACTTAAGTATGAGGGGTTTGGATCTGTTCAGCGTAAACTAAAGCAGTTAGTGTCCAGACTGCAGTTTATTCAGTCAGTCCTGATACATGATACATGAAGAACTGAGATTAGCTGTTGAAAATTAAAGATTATTTTTATTAATGTAACATTTTCACATCGTCAAAGATTGAGACATTGAGAAGGGTTTCCCCTTCAACATTATATTCAGCATTAGAAATGTAATTTTTTTCATATACCACTAATAATAATCTTTGCATTTGATACAATGCCTTATCACGTCTTTGAGACATCTCAAAGCGCTTCACAAAATATACTGTAAAGTGAATTGACTGTATATTTTTGTGGGTGAAAATATATTAAGTATGTGATTATCTTAAACTGCCAACGGTAGCTAAACAGCTTTATTAGCCTATACTTATTTCTGTGATGATTTCCTTTTTATTGCTTTTTAAAGCAATTAAGGTTATATCTCCTTCACCTAAGAAATAGTCAAAAGAAGTAATGCAAAATAATACTAATACATTCTATTTAGCTTTGAGAGTAATACAGTCTCACTTCTGTGAGGGGAGGGGAAACTGTGTGATCCTTGAACATTACTTCAAAAGCTGTTGGGCACAGTTAACAGCAGCTCCCCTATCTTTCAAGATAGACTGTAACAAATAAACACATTGGGAGGTATTTCAGACTAGTCAGTAAAGTTATTATAATAAACCTTGCATTTGATATAGCACCTTATCACGTCGATGAGTTACTGTGTGTTATTTCAACCCTGTTGGTTTAGTTGCCAATCTTGGCAGAATTTGCTTATAAATGGAACAAAATGCATGTCCCCACAACAATAAATATCAGGCAGAGAATAACACCAGGCACTGCAAGGTCAGTTATTCTCTTTGAGTTTTTTTCCCACCAATTTCCTCCCCTACAAAATCCAATCTAGCCCTCACTCAATATATACACATATGTGCCTTCCAATAGGCGTCTTTGGATGCGAATCAGAGCAGGAACGTAGACTGATTATAATACTAATAATAATAATAATCCTTGCATCTGATACAGCGCCTTATCACATCTTCGAGACGTCTCAAAGCGCTTCACACAATGTACTGTGAAGTGAATTAATTGACTGTATATTTTTGTGGGCGAAATGCGGCAGCCAATTCCGCACAGTAGTATCCCACAAACAGTCGTGGATTGGGTGACCCAAGTTATTTTTATTTATTTATTTGTTTATTTTTTGAATGGATTATTACCCCAGAAAAGCGATCTGCTAATCGACTAACAACAGATTGCTACTTATTGCTAGGTAAACAGAGACGTGTGGAATAAGGAAAATTGTCTAAAGTTTTGCCCCGCTGGGAATCAAACCCAGGTCCTTTCGCTTGTGAGGCGAGCACTCTAACCACTGAGTTACAGGATTCCACGATTATACTCCCTCACCTAGAGGCATGTGATCAATTTTAACACTATTATTGCTACAATCAACATAGATCAAAACTGTGACCCTTCCAGGTTGTAAAACTCAGACACTCTCTAGACAAACGTGTTGAAAATTTACCAGCAAGCAGAGAATAAAATCATTGAGTTATTTTCCCAAAGTTGTGCTTTTCTCTCCAATAATGTTAATTTTAAAAAAAGTTTTACTATGCTTCGTTAGATATTGGGCAAGTTTACCGTGTGTTCGCAAAATTCTTTCTCCCTCTCTAACTGATTTCTAACTTTGCGAGTGTGTGTATTGTGTGTAAGAAAAAATAATTGAGAGAAAATTCTTTAGCCAGGCTCCCTGATGGCTGAGAGGGTAAAGGCACCTCAGAACTCAGCCACACAGATACACATTTGAATCCCAATCTGATTTGACTTAACTGATTTAACTACCCCAGTGGGGAAATAGTTGGGCCACTATAATTGGCCTTAGAATCTCTGGGTTAAGGAAGTGGACCTCAGCCAAGATTTCCACCCTGATCTCAGCTCAGAGACCCCACTGTATGGTGTGCTTGTGTTGGATATCAGTTAAGGAGTGGTGTTAGCTCACCCTTCGCAGTCAAGCACCCTGCTAACACACATGCGCACACACACACAAAAGTAAAACTCATCCATAACTAATTGCCACTTTTAGTAATAATAATCCTTGTATTTGATATAGCACTTTTACATCTTCTAGACGTCTGAAAGGGCTTCATAGAATATACTGTAAAGTGAATTGACTGTATATTTTGTGGGCGAAACGCAACAGCCAATTGCACGAAGCAGTGTCCTACAAACAGACGTGGATTGAGTGACCAAATTATTATTGTTTTTTTTCTTGATGGATTATTATCAGGTTTGTGAAGTAAAGAAATTTGCCCAAGGTTTTGCCCTGCTGGAAATCAAATTCAGGTCTCTCGCTTGCGAGGCGAGTGCTCTAACCACTGAGCTACAGGACTCCTAAAAAACTCTACCCTGGTACAACATTGATTCACACTGGCCTGAAATTTATATTCATTTTATCACTTGTAATAATTGATGATTAAGAAAATCGAAAGGAGGAGGGAAAATTCTAGGAAGAAAAGTTAGAAAAAAATATTCAGCCATGGTAGATTTCTGCTTCATATGAATAAACAAACTTATATGAATAGCTCAATATTCTCTGTCCCTGAGATGAATGGCTTGCACTGTTTTGTTCAAGTTGTTTTTAAACTTTATTTTACGTTAAACAATTCCCCATCAAAGTTGAAAGGACATTTTTAAATGCCTTAATGGGTACAGGAACAACAACCAACTTTGCCACCTGATTTGCAACTCATGTTTCCAAACAAATGGTTTCTTTCAAAAAGTTTCCAAAAGAAAAGTTTTAAAACAGGCAGCAAAAGTGGATTGCTGGAAGTCTTCTTGGCAAAAAGTAGAAAAATTTCCAAAATCTAGGCACTTGTGTTGAGATGTAACTTGTGATTTTTGCCATTAGGATTTTGTGGGTTAATTGCCACTTCACAAAATTAGTGGACAATCTCCACTTGCTCCGCTCAACATGTTCAGCTGAGATAATCAAATATTTACCTGAAAGTACTGTATGCTGCATAGACATGCAAAACATTTGATGATATCTGTAGTTCTGTAACAGAAGGCACGTCTCGAAACTTACCTCTTTGACTGCACTTTCGATCATCTCTCCCTTCCCCACCACCCTCAACTCCACCCCAAGCTTGGGCACCCACCCAGTATTGTTAAACCTTTTGAGACATCTTCCCGACGTGAAAGCCACTTAGTCAATTGTATTGTAATTGTATTGTTTTGTAGAATTTTGCCTGATTTAAGGATTCAAGTGCCTCCAGTGTCGAATTAAAATGTGTTTAATGTCAATTTATTAAGCATGCTTTCATTTTTTGGTTTCTGTGCTTTGCTAAAGTGTGACAGGGGCATTGTCTCCCTGAAAAGGCCAGTGCAACTTCTTTTTGACTGGGGAGGTAATTGAGCCAGAAAGGCTTGTGTACTTTTGCACAATGGCATCCCTCACAAGTGACCTGGCTATACATTTTGGTGATTCATACGTTTCCAAATAAAGAGGAAGAAAATGTTTCCAAAATCCATTTTCACGGAGGCACTGCCACTTCAAAATAGCTCTTTGACGTTATGTTCCCACTGTTGTTTAAATGAAATAGTTGTTACCAAACTGTTCTGTTCTTTTGCAGTCTGTTCCACCAGTTGATGGTGACAGTGACATAATCGCATTGGGTCAGAGACCGAAGCATCCAATACCAAACATCCCATCAACACTAGACAGGCAAACCAATTGGATCAAAGATCTACCTCTTCCCACACCAGAGCAGAAGATGCGTCAGGAGGCCCAGGCCGTTACGTCCTGTGTTATTCCCATTAATGTCACTGGTACAGTCCCATGTCTTGTTTATGAAAAGAAAAGTCATATAAGGTGAAAGCTTTGGCTTCCAATTGTACTTGGTTCTATGATGAATGAAGACAACTAAACTTATAGCTTGACAGTATGAAACTTGCTATCAGTCCAGGGAGGACTGTGGTAATATTTCTCGACTGATATGCAATTTTAACTTTATCTTAATGTTTTTCCTCCCCCTCCTCTCGTGAGGAGCATGTTTCATGCGGGGTATTCTGCTACAAGCATTGGCAACCATCCAGTACCTAGCCCCAGGGCCATTCTTCATGTGTGAGTTCAGACAATGAGCACCAGCAGACTTTGTGAGGCATCATAGCCGGTGCTGTCCTTGTCTCTCGACCACACATGAACCGCCAGGAATCATTCAATCGTGACGTGTAGGAGAAACCCTTGTTGAATTAGCCTTGCCTGGGAAAATACAAATTATAATAAGATTGCGATGTTTTAATCAGGAGAGTTGAGAAATATTGTAAAACCCCAGCCATTTCTCCAAAGATTTAATCCTCACTGGGAATATAATTGTTTTTTTGTAGATGTTCAATGTTCAAGATCATGTGTGCACCTTGAAGAACATTTAATGCTCAAAATATTGGCTTGCTTAAATAAGAATACAAAATTGCTGGAAATGCACAGTGGAGTGAGCAACACCTGAAAGAGACAGTCCAGTTCATCTGTGACTTCTAAATGAAAAGTTGTATCTGAATGCATTCGAATGAGAAAACTGCTGTGTAAATGGCACATTTTGCCAGAAAAAAAGCATCTTGGGGAATAGAGTTCTTCTCCTGCAAAAACCCCCACATATGTTATGCCAACCTTTGAGACCTCAGCTCCAACCCAAACCAAGATCAGATTAGTGCAGGGTTCTCATAACTCTTGCCTGGGGGAAATATAACCCGTGACTGGAGTCCTGTAGTTCAGTGGTTAGAGCACTCGCTTTGCAAGTGAGAGACCTGAGTTCAATTCCAGGCAGGGCAAAACCTTGGGCAAGTTTCCTTACTCCACACGCCTAATAATAATCCCTCCAAAAAAACTAAACAATAATAAATTGGTCATTTTCAATCCATGACTGTTTGTGGGACATTGCTGTGCGCAATTGGCTGCCGCGTTCGCCCACAAATATACAGTCAATTCACTTTACAGTATATTCTGTGAAGCGCTTTGGGACGTCTAGAAGACGTGAAAAGCGCTATATCAAATGCAAGGATTATTATTAGTATTATTTAACATTTGAGGGGTTTTCTGCAATAGCAAACACATTTTAGACCCTGGTTTTTTTTCCAGGCTATTTATGCTGCAGTTTTCCTTTTCAAGTGCATTTTCATTTCCATTATCCTATCTTTCTCTTTCAGATGGTGATTGACTTGTGCATTTCTTGTTTTTTATTACAGATCTTTAATGTTTTTTTACCTTTATATTTCTGTTAATTTCTCTAGTTGTTTTTAAATTATGATTTTTTAGCCAGAAAAGCTGGAATAGTAGAACATTCGTATAAAGAACAATTGTAAAATACCATTATGATTAAGTTAAAGTATAAAGAAATTGAACTGCAGTTTTCTATTTTTAAAAAATCGAAAATGCCAGGAATTAAGGAAAATTGACAATATGTTTAAAGGCACATTCAGTGTTGTTCACCTGGCTAGTTTTTAATGTAGACAATGTGTTAATGACACTTGGCTTGCCAGCATGCATTTATATGAAGAAATCCCATTATAAACAAACAGCCCAAGGTAGGTCATTTTGCTGAACAGTGGAAAGGTGCTCTTGGGGCGTGCATTACGCAGGTGTTTGTTGAGTGGTAATTCAATCGCTTGATCTGGCAGAGGTGGCCACAATTGCGCTACTGACTCCAAACTGCTCCTATCAGCGCTTGGCTTGATGTCATTTATACACTTCGGCTGTTGCGCAGATGATGTAAATAGCCTGCAAAGCAAGCTGGAAGAAAACAGGCATGCCGTTTAGTGTCAGTGATGCATGTAGTATGAGGGCAATGTAAATTATACCAAGTCAAAGTGACACACAGTTTCCCAGAATCAGGCTCAGCTCAGAGGACAAAATTGTGCTGCTGGTTAAAAATTAGCATTTTTGTTCTATCCACAGGATTGCTAAAAGCAGCAGGTGGTATGGGTGAATTGTGTGAATTTGAGATTACCTATCAATTTGCAATTTATCCTCTCAGTATGCTTGGGTCCCTATGTGAATGTATGAGCTATAAACCATCTTGTGTCACCTCCATAACTTTTTTTTTGCAAGACCTGTTGAAAGCTTTCATGTAACCAGGTTCATGATTCTTTTCATACCTACCTGCATGTTACAATCCAGCTGTAGAAATATCCTTAAACACCAATTTGTCACTCAATACTTTTCTAATTTAAATTGCTTGCCAAGCTTTACAAGCGACTTATACTATCCTCAGATCTCCAACTGTATAAATGGATATTATCACGCTATGTGACATTGGAAAGAGGTGGAATATTTTCCTTAATAATAAACATTGGCAGGTGAGGTGCAGCAATGGCCTAGTGGGTAAAGCCACGAGTGCAACACTAGGCTGTCAAGACTGTAAGGTTGTAGAGTAGAATCACAATCTGTGCTAAACTAGCTTATCTGAGCCAGAGTGTTGCAATAGGTCTCAGGATTCCTAGTTAGGGAGAGCAAAAGAGATCAATATTCCTGCTTCTGAGTGCGATCAGTGTGTGAATGTTGGGTGATGACAGGATTGAGAATAGCTTTGGGATCATCTGCCGGGGGGGAGGGTGGGGGTCAGACTAGCTTATCAGCACTCACTATCAAGGATCTCACACATGAAATATGACTATTTGGGTGGAGTACTTGAGGACAAACTGTCATGATCTGGTACTAGGGACTCAGCGGAAGAAAAATTGTGTCAAACATCGTTAGGACAGGAGGAGGAGGGAATGGGAGAAATTTGTAGATTTAAAAAAAAATCTAATTTTTGTAAAAACAATTTTTTTTTGCCGACTGTTTTTGAAACTATACTATAGTTTGCACAGTTTCCCTTTTCTTAACTGCAGGAGTGGGTTTTGAGAGACAGGTCAGTGGCCGGTATTCCTTCGTTCACCCTCAGTCTGTGCTGCAGAGAAGACGGAAGTTAAGAAGGCGAAAAACTATCAGCGGGATTCCCAGACGTGTGCCACAAGAAATAGGTAAACCATTCTAACCTGTTATGAACACCAGATGATTCAAATGAGAATCAAAAACTTTTTTCGAAATAAGAAAAGGCCATCAAGCCTTTTCGTTGCTTTTGGATGCACCTAGACAGTAGAACAATGGGATATAGATTTAGAGTTGCAAAGGGCAATCTCAGGACAGACACCAGGAAGTATTTATTTGCTCAGAGGATAAATAAAGACTGAAATGTGTTAGGGAGGATGGTTGAACCAAGACCCTGCAGTTGTTTGTTTTTTTAAAAAAAACAGCTTGGTGCTGCGAAGAGAGAAATGTAGGATGGGTATTCTGGAAGATTGAGATCAAATGGACTGAAGGGCCTTCTTCATCCGAAACTCTCTTGTGATCTTGTGATTCCCAACCCCAGCTATCTACCTTCTCACCTTAACCTCACAATCCCTTCATGCTCCAGAAATGCATCTCCATATCTCTTGGATTCATTTATATTATTCGCTTCATTGACCCTCCCTGGTAATGGATTCAGCAAGTACATTCATGACATGTAAAATGATACCACTCGCTTCTCTACTCCTAATTTCCTGATTTTGTTTTGAATTGGGTCTAATATTTATCAGTTCTGCAAAGCTAACTTGCAATTTAGAAAGACGTGTCTTTTATTGATGTATAATAAATATACAACAAAGCAAAGTTTAAGCTCAGAGAGGACACAGGAAGAAGATGGAGCAGGTTTATCTCTTTCAATCCTGTGGATAAAAACACCTTCTTGTTAACTGTTATGATCGAATAACTAGGACTGGCCGCTATCAGTCTTGTACTTTCATTTGTATTTTTGTGCTATCTATCATGGAGCAGGTTATTCAGAGTATCTCATATTCAGCATTATTCTTGTAAAAGTGTTATTTTTTATATCATAATAAGAAATGTATTGTTTATGTTCGACTAACTTTATTTTTCAGAATGTGGGATAATCCTTGATTGTATATTTTATTTATTATATATAACAGATTCTGACGAGTCTCCCATGGCTAGGGAAAGGAATGTTATTGTACATGTCAATCCAGACTTAGCCTTACATGGGGATGAGATGAACTCCACCGGTGGACGATCTGGAACCAGGGACTCAGAGTGCCAGACAGAGGATATTCTAATTGCTGCACCATCAGCAAGACGGATCCGTGCCCAACGGGGCAATGGTATCCTATCCTCATTGTCCCATTCAGCTGGCAATATCACGACCCTAGCGGATGGCTCAGATGCAATGTTTCCTGCACCAACTGACAACCATATTCGTTCGCGTAGCCTTTCCCATGAAGGCGCGAGAGTTTCATTGCTGCCGCGTGAGCTGAACGATGAGGATGAGGATGAAGACGATGATGATGATGATGAGGAGGAGGAAAGTGTTAGCGGTACGCCTGAAAAATATTTGGCAAGCTCAGAGAGGACACAGGAAGACGATGGAGCAGGGTTATTTCTTCCAAGCCCACATAAACATCATTCAAAGGGTATTACTGTTCAACCAGAACAAAGTCCAGAACATAAGGGCCAATTGGCAAAGTTATCCAACTTTGCACAAGAGGGAGACATGGGTAACAGTGAAATCTCCTCAAACTCTGATACCTTTGGGAGTCCAGTCAACAGCATCTCCAGTGCAGGAGCTCTCTTAAGTAGTCAGATGGATCAAAAGGAAGATCACCAATCCTCCAGTGGAAACTGGAGTGGGAGTAATTCAACATGTCCTTCACAGACATCAGAGACGATCCATACTGCATCTTCACCTCCACTCACAGGATCGTCACACTGTGACTCAGAATTATCATTGAATACACCAGCTCACACAAACTATGATTCATCAGCTTTCCTACTGGAACAGTACACATATCAAGGGGATAAGATCAGAGGTCACAGAGCAAACTCTTTTACTTCCACGGGGACAGATGTTGTTGAGGATCTCAGCATGAGTAACACAAGTGATGCTGAATGCAACTATGTACACTATTGTCATGATGCATCTTGTCATCAAGATTTTAGTCCAAGGCATTCAAGGACCAATAGCTTGGGATGTCCAAGTTTCACTAGCATGGGTACTTGTGACAGCTTTCTTGACAGACCATCCTCATCTAGAACTGACTCGGGCTCACATTTTTCTGTTGATACTGAAGGCTATTATACTTCCATGCACTTTGACTGTGGTTTGAGAACTACTAGGAACTATATTCTTAACTATACATCCCCGGGCTCTGATGGAATCCAGAGCACAGGATACACTTCAGAGTTTAGCGAACTTCCTCAGCGGGATCATTCGGAGCCAAGAAAGCAGAGCCATCAGGGTCCAAGTATTGCGTTCAAGAAGCCAAAGGCAAAGCCGACCCCACCAAAACGCAGTTCCTCGTTGAAGATGAGTGGAAGTGGTACAAATCAGAATGAAAATAGCGAACCAAAGACAAACAATGGGCAGGATTGGACTGCATCTTCCAGAGATGCACAAAAGTCTTTGCAACTGGACCTGAGTCTTGCATCGGACAGGTTTAAAGGTTCCATGCTGTCCAGTAAAAAGGACTTTCCCTGGGATCTCGAGAGTGAATATGCAACTGACAATGAATCATCAGACCCTCAGTTTAGCTCTTCTGACACAGCAACATTAAAAGATGAAGGTGCTGTGCAATCAGACTATGCAGGTCTCTGGCTCCTAAACGATTTAAAGTCTAATGACCCATACAGGTCACTGTCCAACTCCAGTACTGCCACAGGCACAACAGTCATAGAATGCACAAAGTCTCCAGAAGGGTCGGAGTCCCAAACATCCCAGTCTGAATCACGTGCTACTACCCCATCCCTTCCCTCAGTTGATACTGAATTTAAACTGTCTTCTCCAGATAAATTGGCAGGCTTGGCGTCACCGTCTAGTGGGTACTCCAGCCAATCTGGAACTCCAACCTCAACCTTACCTACACCTCTTTTCCCTGGTCCCCTGTCTCCATGCAGTGCTAAAAAAAAGCCAAAAGTACCAGAGAGGAGGTCTTCACTACAGCAGTCTTCCACAAGGGATGTAAATGTTGCATCAAAGAAGGATCTTGAACTACCAATTATACCTCCAACGCATCTTGACCTAAGTGCTCTTCAGAATCTATTTAAAAACAAGCCATTTGCTCAGAAGAAACAATTACAGGTCTCAAACCAGGACAAACAAAAAGAGGTAGCAGAAAGAACTAATGGCTCCCCAGTCACGCTTGCCATTACCCCTTCAGTTCTCCAGTCTGTGCAGCTTCGTTCAATTAGCAAAGCCAAGGAACTCAAAGAGGAACACAGAGAAGATCTTGACGAAACGCAAGAAGCAAGCAATATGGTGACTGTATTGTCACCAAATAAAACTAAACTTAACAGTCATAATAAATCATTAGCTACACAGAAGCAGGCTGAATATTCCAGTTTGCCTCAACAATTACAAGTCCTATCTCCCAACAAGGCAGACACAGATGTTTTACATTTAGAAAAACATAATGCACTTTGTCCAGAAAATAAACTGAATGAAGAAAGAATTGGAGCTATACATTTGATTTCTACGACAGAGAAGCCTTTAACTCAACTCACAGAACCTAATGAGGCTGCAGGGTACATAAACCTTGAAAACGAGCATACAATTGCAAAAGCAGGTTGTCAGGCAGTCTCCAGTGGCTGCAGCAGTATGAACGAAAATAATTCTGTCACAGAAAGCGGTCGACAAGTAAAAAAGCAAGACTTCAGCGAACTTAAGACGGATGCATCGCCAATGTTATTACAAGAAAAGAGGAATGAAGAGAAAGCTGGACGTGTGTGTCCACCATACAGTAGAGTAATGGAAAGCTTGACTATTGTAATACAGTCCCCTGAAACTGTAGAAAAGATAGAAAAGAAACTTGACTTTGACGCAGCTGATGGTGATGAAATTGCACCTCAGGAAATAGTTCAACCAGATTCAATAAGTACTCAGAGGCTTGATAAAGAAAGAGAAGAGAGAGCAGTCATGGCACCAGACAGTTCTCCTGAAAGTGTTACTGATGGCAGAAGAGCTGCTGAAATCCTGTGTGAGGGGGCAAATGACAGCCAGGACAAAGACTACTTAGGTAAATATTTTACTAAATGTTTTTGGACTTTCTTTACCGGATCATTGATGTGATGGCACCATGCCTGCTCTTGGCATTGTTGAAAATAATTTTAAAAAAACACTCCAACAAGCTAAGCTGCCTTACATAGCTTCGTTTTCAAATCCCTTCATGCCCTAGCACCTCCCTCTCCGACCTGCTTACTCCCCAACCCACAACCTGCTGCCTCCACTCGACTGACTCTGGCCTCCTGCATGTCCCTCGTGCCCTCCATTCCACCACTGGTGGTCGTGCTTTCAGCCATTATGCTCCAAAATGCTCTGGAACACTCTTCCTCTATCTCTCCATCTTGCCCCTTCCTTCTCCATCTTCAGATCTTCCACTTGAAGACCTTCCTCTTTGATCGTGCCTACAATGAGCTCTCCCCTCCCCCCGGCTTGGGGTCGTGCTCCGCCACTGTCGAGTGCTTGTGGTGAGGTGCACGATATAAATGCAAGTTGTTGTTGTTGTTATTAAGATGGACGTGTTTGACTCTTTTCAGAACAAGTTGATCCTCACCCTCCTCCCTCTTCCTCCCACACACCGTGGAGAAACAGTCCAGCATTTTAAAGCAATTATCACACATATAATTATATATTATCACATAAAATTGAATATAAAACAATTATTGAATATATATGTAGAATGTGAATGAGGATTTTTATTTCCAGATCCCATTGTGAGGCAATTGCTCCAAATAACCCTCAGATTTTCTTATTTATTTAAAATACAAGTCTAGGCTTAGTTGCTAGCATGCTTGCCTGAGTCAGCAGGCTGGTTGTAGGTTTCATCGCCATGTCAGGGACTTGGAGACTCAGTCTAGTTAGGTTCTCCAGTGTGCTGCTGTGGGAATGCTGCATTGTCAAGAGTGCTATTCTCATATGAGATGTTAAATGAAGGTCCAGTTTAGCTATTCAGCTGTGGGTCTATATGAAAAGAGAAGGGAATCTCTCCTGGTATTCTGAACAACAATACCCCAGATTTTTTTAAAAAGCGGTCATTCACTTCATGGCTGTTTATGGAACATTGCTGTATGCAAATATAGCTGCCACATTTGCCCTACAAATACACATTTACAACACTTTTGTGCTTTGGTGTGAAGTGTTTTGAGGTACTTCAACATGATAAGCCACTGTTAAACACGAGAATTATTGTTTTTAGAAATTCAGCTACCATCAAGACTATTTAGAAGTGTGCCCTATGTAGCAATTTTTTTTACATGGGATAAGAACTGTTCTCTGTTAATAAGATTTGCAATTTTGCCTCTACATACTTATAAATAAATGTAATGCAATTTCTGTATTTAAGAATTTGCCAAATTCTGGATGCTCTGAAAAGGCTCTGTTAATGAAATAAATCTAGACCCAGGTGAAAACACTTTTATATTCTCATGAATATTATTCTCATGTGATTCAAGTTAACGATTCACCTTTTAATATGTTTTTTCGGGTGTGGAAGGCTGCAAAGTTTCCTCTTTAATGTCCTTTAATAAGACCTTAACAAATTCAGGAAGCCTTATTTTCTTGCTTTTCACTACAGTTTCTCACTCTGTTTTTCGCAGAGTAGCACTAAATACAGATGACAGATGATTTGTTTGTTGAGGTCCTGCCCTTGTTTAGTGCTATGTCCTTTCTGGTAAGATTACTAAAACTGAGCAATGTCAGAAAACAGATCATTAACCTTTCAAAAGTACGTTATTCCATTTAGTCAATTTAGTTAATCGGGAATGATTTAATTTAATGTATTTTCATACCACATTCCATTTAATACGATGTGATCTTTGTCGTTTATGTTAATGTAACTATAAAGATTGTGGATGTGTTAAGGTGGCCTGTGGATTCTGGAGTCTTATTCAGAAGGGCTAAATCCAAGCTCGAACAGTCATTGAGACTTATCCACTTTCTGGGAGTAAAGGGTTACCATTTTTTGGGTAAATTGGCAAATGAAATGGGGTTTTAGTTTCTGGCGGGAAAGAAGAAAATTCAACAAAGAAATATTCCTCTCCTATCTGCAAAGCCCACCAATTGTCTTCTGACACATAGCAACATTGAGCACAGCATTTCAAAACTTCAGCAGACCCTATTGAAGGAGGGCAATATGCAGGTGGAAAGCAAATGAAAGGCCTAAAATTAATTTTTTTGGTCGTGATTTGGGTTGATAGATTTTTAAGAATAATAGTGTTGTCCCATTATGATGTTGATTTCATATCAAAATATCTTTCAAGTAATAATAAAGCCTGGATAAATAAGAATGAATACTGCTTTGGGCTAGAAAAGTATTACTTTGAAGCCAAGCCTTGGTTTTTGCAAACCAGCACCTAAATTCTCTGAGATTAAGTGAGCATCTGCTGGAGAGAGAGAGGACATGGTCCATATAAGACAAGTCAAATGGTGTAACTCTCTGTAGTTTCTCTGCAGACTCTTAAGCAAGTTAATCGATTTTCATACGTGTCAGATATCTGACTGTCCAAAAAATAGCTTTTTTAAAACAATTCTATTGCAGTTTCCCTTACCGTGAAAGTTGTATGCACTAATATGCATACTGATTATATGCAATGAACTTACTGAGGAAATGGCACTTCTGTTTCTTATATTTAGATGCTGGACAGAATGAAAGTTATTTAACTTCTCCAGTGGATTCCCAGACTGATGACGATAATGTTTTCATATCACCAAGCAGACTCCGCACCACAGAGGATCTCTTTGCTGTGATTCACAGGTCAGAATCTTTCAAACAAGAAAAACTTGGATTCACACTTAGAATAAGTTGAATCCGAAATGGTTCACAACAATTTCACCCCCATTTTGGGTACAACTGCCTTCTACTGCACCACATTTTTGGGCCAGTGTAAAAAATGTACTGCCCAATCTTATTAAAGCCCTGGAATACAATATTTAGATGGCAGTGATAAAAAGTACTGCACAAGTAATGAAACCAAGCTTAACCGGGTCTCAATAAAATGTTTGTACAGGACTATGTAGGAGCAAATATATAAATAGTTGCTATTGATTCTAAGGATTACAATCCAAAGAAGCTGAAGTGGTCACCTGAATGAGTACTCTGTGGGGGGAGCAATGATAAGGGAAAAGCCTGTAGAATATAGGGGGAAATGAAGACTTGAGATCCTGGAAAGGAACAAGTTAGTGTCAGGGTATGATATTTGTGGAGTCCTGTAGCTCAGTGGTTAGAGCACTCGCTTTGCAAGTGAGAGACCTGAGTTCAATTCCAGGTAGGGCGAAACCTTGGGCAAGTTTCCTTACTCCATACGCCTAATAATAATCCCTCCAAAAACCAAAAACAATAATTAAATTGGTCATTTTCAATCTACGACTGTTTGTGGGACATTGCTGTGCGCAATTGGCTGCTGCGTTCGCCCACAAATATACAGTCAATTCACTTTACAGTGTGTTCTGTGAAGCGCTTTGGGACGTCCTCCCGACGTGAAAAGCGCTATATCAAATGCAAGGATTATTATTATTATTATGATGAGTCTTAAATTCAGCACAGCTACAGAACCACAGAAAGAAGGAAGCAATTCATAAAGCACTTAAACGGCAACCAATCTTCCTTGATCCACCAAGGGATGGTCAGGCAGAGAGGACGGGAGTAGTTACCACATGACATCTTCTCATTGTATAGACTCTGCCAATTGTACATCCTCTGTATCACGGAAATGCTCTTTGCATTGCCTGTTACTAGCATAGAAATTCATCACTAAGTTTCCTACTTAATTATTTTTATGAAACACTTGGTTAATACTTGGAACATCAGGAGAGTTTTACTGAGATACATATCTAGTTAGGTTCTCTTGATCATCAGTTCCCATTCTTCATACCTCCCACCTTGTGAAACAATGCTTATGTTTTATCTAATGTAATGACTTTCAGTGAATTAATGGCTCAGAAATATATTTTTTTCCTTTAAGATCCAAGAGGAAACTCCTTGGAAGGAAAGATTCTGATGACGCACCAAATGTAAACAAACCGAGATCTTCTCCTGGCAATTCTCCAGTAACTCCTCTGGCTGTTCAGAAACCGCCTGGCCCTATTTATAGGAGTGTCCGGAAATCCAACACTTCTCACGAGGAGTTTAAGCAACTGTTGCTTAAAAAAGGCAGCCGGTCAGATGTAAGCTATAGATTATCTGCCACTGAAATCCTGAAGAATGCAAGTCCAGTTTCTCCCAAGTCAACAAGAGAATCGTCTCCAGAACAGGCTAAAGAGGCTGAGGAAACTTGTCTCTTCCCTTCTGGATGTGAAATACAGTCACCAGTTTCTCCATACTCTCCGAGGTTCAGTACGGAAGGAATCTCCTCCAGGAGTTTTGCCATGACTACATCTTCTCGGCCAAGCCGATCTCGAGCCCCTCCAGCAGCTGGTAGCAGTCGATACAGTGTCCGAAACCGCTTCCACAGTACACCTATGCAGGTCATTTCTGAGGGCGAAGCTGAGAACTCAGACGGAAGCCCTCATGATGAAAGGACCTCACAGAACACACAATAAATCATTTCTGGGGGAAGCAAGAAATGTGAAAGTAACCTAATTGTGCATGTGGTTTAGATTAGCAATGTTTACACTGAAAGCTCTAAAGACAGGCTGAGTTTTTGTTTGAAAAACATTAAAGATAACAACACTGCCTCCCAAGGGTATTTAAAAAAAACTACTGAAATAATGGGGATCTTTTAACGTAAATAAAGTAATTGTTTCTTGAAACTCTTACTAAAGAGATAACACTTGCTTTGTTACATAGGCTATTTTTTTGAAGTATCTACGGTAAAGCAGAAGAAAGATTTTTCGATTATTCCCTAATAATTAATTAAGACAAAAAGCAAAGACTGTTCAAAGGCTTTATAGGTATGGTATTTTGAACTGGATCCCTTTAATGGGCTACCGAGGGAGAGCCATTTCCTAAAATAATTAACATTTGCTTGAACAATGATATGACTGTTGAACGAAACATATAGTGCAGATGTTGGTTCTTCGTGTTTCAAACTAAGAGAAGATTTTCTAAAACAATGAGATACGCACAGCATAGAGTTTTAACACCAATGTAAGTACCATCATTTTGGTAAATTTTAAAATACGTATTAATCCTCTGAGCATGTCACATTTTGTAATTTACATCATCAAAACATGCTGCAAACTACTGTACTGTATTTTAAAGTCCACAAAATTATAAAACAATGACGATGCTAGATGAGGGCAAATACATAAGGAACATGTGTTTTTTTAAAAAAGAGTATTCTGTGAATCTTAATCATACCCTATCATTTTACTGTATGACTTGACAGATCACTGGATTAATGGTAGTCCATTCTGCATATTATTGCATAGAATAAACCACAATGATTTGGGTGGATTTTTTCTGTTGATCCAGGTTGAGGTATCCTGCTATAGTTATTTTCAAAGAAAAGATTTAATGCATAATAAAATAAGCAGTTTAAAATAATTATACATTCTCTCAAGCAGTCTTCCATTCCAACTTAAATGTAATTAAATTGTACTATTTACAGAGAAAATACTTTTACACACTCAAAGGATTAATACTGTACTATCTAATTGTGATCAATTAGTTTTTTTAACTTGCTAAAATCATTCTATAACAATATTGAAAGAAACTAAAGAAATTAATATTTTTGTGATTAATGCTGAGTTACCAGTGAGTAAAACACCAAGATTTGCATGTTTGCAAAATGCCATAGTTTAAGATCTTTTGTACAAACATTTCACAACAAATGATGGGAGGTGGGGATGAAGAAATCAAACCGTGAGGCATTTTAACACGGTTTATTGTATTTGTTACTTTATAAATACTCTCCCATATTATTGTGAGTGAAGTAATCTACAATCATATAGTGTACAGAAATCTATAAAAATGGGTTTAACTGAAAAGACAAAGGATAGGTTTTTATTGCAGTTTATCAATAAATGGGAGGGAAGAGCAGTGAGTATAATAGGTTCAGGAAGGAATTTGTGATGTTGGAAATTTAAAAGAATGGAGAAGAGAGAGCAACTACTTCATAAGTACTGAAAATGGATTATTCAAAACGGAAGAAGAAAAGGAGTAACAGTGAGAGATGAGTGATATGCGAATGGGTGTGCAAAAGGGATTTTTAAAAAAAAGTGCTGATTGGTCCAGAAGTGTTCAGTAAAGAAACTTTGAGAGACGATGGTAATCCCGTTTAAGATTACGGAGACTGAAGAGGAGAAAGCAACAGAGAAACTGAAACAAACAAATGCAATGTTCCAGAATACCAATAGTAGCAGTTATTGGTGGACAATGATCAAACTGACATAAAACATTACATTTTTTGTTTTTTTTAAAAAAAGGACCTGCTTTTATTTTGGTAAATAGGATGATCCCTTTGGTTTAATTAAGTGTGTAACCTAGAGCAAAGCACTGTTGATATGTTTACTTGAGTGTTTACTCATCAGCCTTGATCAATTTGAATGAATCGACTGTTACAAACATTAGAGCTATCATATCTAACCAGACCCACATGTCAACTAGAGCATCAATTACACAAGAAACTTGGGAGAATAAATTGCACAATATATTACAGTATTCGCAATTTTTTGTCTTGGCTACTGATAAGGTTGCTCCTGTGATATCAGTTTCCTTGCAGTATGAATCAGTCTCTAAATTACTACTAATAAATAAGTCAGGGTTTATGAATGACCACATTTATCTGTGTGATATGAGCTGTGAATTAAGCAACACGTAACAGATTTTAGTCACTTCGATGTGTAAAGCACACAAAATAAAAAAGAGCTGATGCAGAGGTTTCCAGCAAAATGACTATATCAACTGAAATCCATATTGTGCCATATCTTCCACCTAGCGTGAATATATGACTACATGAAGTTATTTAGAAATGAAGAAAAGAAATTCTTCTGGACAGTTTAGTTGTTAAAATATATGGTGCATAATTATCAAAGAGACTGCTTAAGATTTTTAAAAAACACACACATAGAATTACTGATGCTCTGACAGCACTGCCATCTTTTGAACAAGGTGAACTAATTATATTGTATGCATTAATTTTGTGGACCATCATTCCAGTGTGTGTGTGTGTGTGTGTTCTGTTGTTTGCACTGAAGTGTAAGACAGTGAGTGTTTGAAATTATGCGGCTGCTTTCTTATAGCATCTGATGATTCCTAATTTATATAGGCTTTCTTCCTGTTTATTTGGCATACAAGGATCTGCACAGTTTAAATAAAAATGTAAAAGGTCTCTAAAGAATTATGTCTGGGTTTTTTGCCAAAGGTTGAATGAATGCATCTAACTGCATAGTGGCAGAGTTTAAAAACAAATATTGGTTTTGGTTTATTGTATAAAAACAAATTAAGAGAAGAATACAGTGTAACTGTATTGGTACTAGAACCAGTTAAATCTGGAAGAAAAGAATGATTTATGGATTTGCAGCAATTTTATAATTTTTTTGTAATATTTGTAAATATGGACTTTTTAAAAATGCCGAGATGCTTTTTGTAAAATGTTTTCAAAGTTTACATTAATATCTAAGCCTTTGTATATTTTAGAGCTGTGCAACACTTTTAAGTCTTGTATTTATTTTTAGTAAAAATTGTGAAACTTTCCCTGTGAATTCTCCCCAAGTACAGTACATTTTGCCAGTCGAGTCTGGCTGCTTTGACAGTGTGCATAGAGGCTGACAATAAATGTGACTGCATTGGATCGGCAGATAAACCTGTTTGTTTTTTTCCAATGGTTTAATTGTACCGCATTTACGCTGGTGTATTCCAAAGCATCCAGAAGGGGGCAGGAAAGGTGGCCGAGGCCAGGACGCAGGAGACATTTGGGAAACAGCTTGATACTTTTTCATCCGAAACAATCTGACCGAACATGGCTATTTTACTCTCCTCTCAACCTGTACTGGTTGTGTGAATGCTTCACTCACACAGATGAGCTCAGGAAAATCATTTGCTTATACAAATGATGTGAAAATGTATGGTGGGAGAGGTGAAGAAAAGACTTACTTGTAAATATTTTTGCTGAAATCAACCTTTCCCGTTTCTGCAGCTGTACTTTCTTGATTGTGGACTTATTTTTGATGATCTTTGGACTGGACAGTGCTTCATTGATGGGCTTCCCTTGCCAAGGAATGCTCATGATGTTGGAAAGCTGGCACCAGTAGAATTTCTACATCCCTTTATTCTTAAAATATTGAATGGATTGCAGATCATTTCAGAAACTGCTCACAGGCAACTTGACATTGCTATTAACAGATGAGATAAAGGCAGGAGTAAGGGACTAAAAGGATAGCTATTTTCAGAGAGACAATGTAGACTCAATGTGGCTCTGAAATAGCCACACGGCCAAATGGCCTCCTTCTGTGCTGTAAATTTCTATGGTTATTAAACTGGTCAGCCACTTGTATGTCAGGCTGGCTCATTTGGTAGCATTCATACCTGTGAGTCAGAAAGCTGTGGGTTAAAGCCTCAAATTTCACTATATTGAACTCATATAAGTTGCCTCTCCAGCACGGGTACAACTCCTTACTCCACCTGCCTCTGTTTACCTCGCAGGAACCCAGTTGCTAGTCAATTGCCGTATTGCTTTCAGGGGGTAATAATACGTCCAAAAAAATGTGGTCACTCAATGCACAACTGTTTGTGTGTCACTGCGGTGTGCAATTGGCTGCTGTGTGTCACACACAAAAATAGTCAATCCACTCTACAATACATTCTGTGAAGCGCTTTGAGACATCTCAACAATGCGATAAGACGCTATATCAAATTATTATTATATATAACTGTATGCACACAGATGTTATAAGCCACAAGTTTGACCTGCAATGCGACCTTGGAAGAGAAGCGAGCTCGACCACAGTGCTCTTCACCCCTTCCCTGTGCATTCCTTCAGGACACTGTCCAAGAAATCAATCGTCCTAAAGAGAGTATCTACCATATTGTTTTACTGATTTCCCTGAAAGGATTCCAAATTCCACTTTGCACAAATTCAGCATTTCAACCAGATCTGCGGAAAACAATACTGTGCAGAAAACATTAAAACATTTACATTTACTGAACAACAATTAATTTCTGGAAAAAAAAGCTAGATATTAAAAATCAAAGAGATAATGAGATGTCAACAAAAATCATTTTCAGAACGAGTCCCATTGCTGCTCAAAGATATTTACTTTTATTAACTGTGTATTTCAACTGCGACATGTAGATTTCATCGGGAAATGAACAACATGAGTTAAGAACAAAGAAACATTTGTGCCCCAAGCACTAAGATTATTTACAAACAAATAACAAAATTGCAACATTGCGCTGCAGAGTTAAGCACGTGTGCACTATGGTGTGTGTGTGTTGGGGGTCATGTGTGCTTGGGGTGTGTGTGTATGGGGGGGCTGTATGTTGGGATGTGTTTGTGCGTTGGGATGGGTGTATATGTGTGTTTGTGTTGGGGGGGGTGTATGTGTGCATGTATGGGGGTGTATGTATGTTGGGGGTATATGTGTGTGTTCGGGGTGATCTGTGTGTGTGTGTGTTAGGGGATGGTGTGTGTGTTGGTGTGTGTGTGTTAGGGGGTGGTGTGTTGATGTGTGCGTGTGTGTTAGGGGGTGGTATGTTGGTGTGTGTTAGGGGGTGGTGTGTTGGTGTGTGTGTTAGGGGTGGTGTGTTGGTGTGTGTGTGAGGGGGTGGTGTGTTGGGGTATGTGTGTGTGAGGGGGTGGTGTGTTGGTGTGTGTATGAGGGGGTGGTGTGTTGGTGTGTGTGAGGGGGTGGTGTGTTGGGGTGTATGTGTGTGAGGGGGTGGTGTGTTGGTGTGTGTGTGTTAGGGGGTGGTGTGTTGGTGTGTGTGTGAGGGGGTGGTGTGTTGGGGTATGTGTGTGTGAGGGGGTGGTGTGTTGGGGTGTATGTGTGTGAGGGGGTGGTGTGTTGGGGTGTATGTGTGTGAGGGGGTGTATGTGTGAGGGGGTGATGTGTTGGTGTGTGTGTGTGTGTGTGAGGGGGTGATGTGTTGGTGTGTGTGTGAGGGGGTGGTGTGTTGGTGTGTGTGTGTGTGTGTTGGTGTGTGTGTGTGTTGGTGTGTTTGTGTGTGTTGGTGTGTGTGTTGGTGTGTGGGGGGTGTGTTTGTGTGTGTGTTGGTGTGTGGGTGTGTGTGCGTGAGGGGGAGGGGGGTGTTGGTGTGTGTGTGTGAGGGGGGGGTGTTGGTGTGTTTGTGTGTGTTGGTGTGTGTGTGTGTTGGTGTGTTTGTGTGTGTTGGTGTGTGTGTGTGTGTGGTGGTGTGTGTTGGTGTGTGTGTGTGTTGGTGTGTGTTTGTGTTGGTGTGTGGGTGTGTGTGGGGGGTGTGTTTGTGTGTGTGTTGGTGTGTGGGTGTGTGTGCGTGAGGGGGGTGTTGGTGTGTGTGTGTGAGGGGGGGGTGTTGGTGTGTTGTGTGTGTTGGGGTGTGTGTGTGTGTGGGGTGTTTGTGTGTGTTGGTGTGTGTGTGTGTTGGTGTGTGTGTGTGGTGGTGTGTGTTGGTGTGTGGGGGGGGTGTGTTGGTGTGTGTGTGTGAGGGGGGGGTGTTGGTGTGTTTGTGTGTGTTGGTGTGTGTGTGTGTGTTGGGGTGTTTGTGTGTGTTGGTGTGTGTGTGTGTTGGTGTGTGTGTGTGGTGGTGTGTGTTGGTGTGTGGGGGGGGTGTGTTGGTGTGTGTGTGTGAGGGGGGGTGTTGGTGTGTTTGTGTGTGTTGGTGTGTGTGTGTGTGTTGGGGTGTTTGTGTGTGTTGGTGTGTGTGTGTGTGTTGGGGTGTTTGTGTGTGTTGGTGTGTGTGTGTGGTGGTGTGTGTTGGTGTGTGGTGTGTGTGTGTTGGTGTGTGTGTGTGTGTTGGTGTGTGTGTGTGGGGGGGGTGTTGGTGTGTGTGTGTGAGGGGGGGGTGTTGGTGTGTTTGTGTGTGTGTGTGTGTTGGGGTGTTTGTGTGTGTTGGTGTGTGTGTGTCAGGCGGTGGTGTGTTTGGGGGCGGATCCCTTCTCCATCAAATACATTCCCATGTGGTTTGGAGTATTTGGCGGCTGCGCAGACTCGGCCTCTGTGGCAGTGGCGGTGACAGTGACGGAGTGGGAGTTTGTGTGTTATTCTCTTGTGTTAAAGCGCCATCTGAGCGGCGGCGGGAAAAGGACAAACCGACACAGAGGAGATCTGTGCGGCTCAGTGCACTATGGCGGCTGTGAGCGGTAGGAGTTTGTTTAGTGTTAACCCCTCGGGCCCCGGCTATGTTTCAACTTTTTATACACTGTGCATATGATTTTCTATTCGTCCAGTGGTGTGTTTTCGCTTCTTTACGTCTCTCTGTGTTGCAAAATAGAGGGGGAGAGGCGCCGGGAGACGGTGAGTGGCGCTCAAAGCATCGCCATTGGAGCCCGGGCCCCGGAGCCTTCAGCTGTGCAGTGTGACGGGCGCTCGGGAATGGTCAGTTCGTGCGTCCATCATTGTGACGTCACAGAGGGATCGCGTGTCCCATCGTTGTGACCTCACAGAGGGATCGGCGTCCATCCTTGTGACGTCACAGAGGGATCGCGATTCCCATCCTTGTGACGTCACAGAGGGATCGGCGTCCATCCTTGTGACGTCACAGAGGGATCGCGATTCCCATCCTTGTGACGTCACAGAGGGATCGGCGTCCATCCTTGTGACGTCACAGAGGGATCGCGATTCCCATCCTTGTGACGTCACAGAGGGATCGCGTGTCCCGTCGTTGTGACGTCACAGAGGGATCGCGTGTCCCATCCTTGTGACCTCACAGAGGGATCGGCGTCCATCCTTGTGACGTCACAGAGGGATCGCGATTCCCATCCTTGTGACGTCACAGAGGGATCGCGTGTCCCGTCGTTGTGACGTCACAGAGGGGTCGCGTGTCCCGTCGTTGTGACGTCACAGAGGGATCGCGTGTCCCATCGTTGTGACGTCACAGAGGGATCGCGTGTCCCATCGTTGTGACGTCACAGAGGGGTCGCGTGTCCCATCGTTGTGACGTCACAGAGGGGTCGCGTGTCCCATCGTTGTGACGTCACAGAGGGGTCGCGTGTCCCATCGTTGTGACGTCACAGAGGGATTGGGGAGAGGGGAGTGACGCTGAGTGGGAGGGGCTGTTAACAATAATAAGAAGAATCCTGGCATTTGACACACGGTCTCTGTCGCATCGTTCAGACGTCTCAAAGCGCTTCACACAATATATACATTCACTTTAGGGTATATTCTGTGAAGCGTTTTGTGATGACAACAACTTCCACTTATATAGCGCCCTCCATGCAGGTCAGCGTCTCAGAGTGCTTAACAGTGGCGGATCCTGACTCCGAGCCGGGGGGGTGGGGGTGGAGTTGCCGAACTGACTGTACGCACAGTCGAAAAATAAGTTTTTCAGGTTGGTCTTGAAAAAGCGGAGAGAAAGGGCAAGGCGGAGGGATTGAGGGAGAGTGTTCCAGAGACGTCTATAAGGTACTATAATATTAATAATAATAATAATAATCCTTGAATTTGATATAGCGCTTTTCACATCGGGAGGACGTCCCAAAGCGCTTCACAGAATACACTGTAAAGTGAATTGACTATATATTTGTGGGCGAACGCGGCAGCCAATTGCGCACAGCAGTGTCTCACAAACCATCATGGATTGTTGGTTATCAAAACCTAAAGAGAGTTTACCTTATCGCACATCTACTTTATCATGAATGCACCCAGTCCTAGTAAACATTATATTATGATACATATTTGCTGGGAATTGGGGCGTTTTCTGTGATCGTATGCTTGTGACCGTTTCATCTGTTCTACAATAAAACTCACAAGTCTTATCTTTATGAATCGTATAATCACCTAAATGATACATTCATCCAGGTCCCATTCAGTTTTCTATCGAAACCACTTAGATTTCTTTGCAGTAATCATATTAATCAACTCCTAACTCATAACGCAACTCCCCAGCCCTCCATTACTGCCGCACTTATCAGCTGCATTAAATTGTGGAAAATGAGGCCCTGACTGGTCGATGCAGGTGTACTTAACAGCTGGCTGCGTTCAAACTCGGGAAACGTAGTTTTGATCCGTCGACACGTGCAGAAGAACGTTATTTTCTGCAATTCAATGCGATTGTAATGCTTGCTGGTAAGTGTGCATGCGGTGATGGGTCAAGACCTATTGAATCACAGATAATGTAGTCTCGACCCATCACCACTTGCATGCTTTTTGAATGCATTGAATTATGCACACACAGTGTAGATTATTGATTAAATCAGATTTGATACGATTTATACAGATTGAATGCAACTGGGACATCACGTAAATCATACTAAATATTACAGTCCCAACTGATATTGTATGAGTTTTAGTATATTTCTCTCCTTTCTGTCCCACTCTGTCCCCTCCCTCCCCAGTGGGAGCCTTGAAATTGAATGCATTTGTTCGCAGTGTGATTTATTGGTTGCAGTGCTGAATGGGAAACATTGTATTTTGTTGAGTGAATTTACGCAGTCAATTACTGTTTTGCTTATTCGATGACAGCAAATGGCTTGCTACCTTCAAACCTTTGAACCGTTTATAACATCAGAAGATACACGATTGGTCCGATTACATGGGAGTTTACACTTTAAAAATACCTGACCTAGTCAACCACGGTCAGTCGTCAATTGCTGAGTGGGAAGATTCTCAGCTTCCAGTCTGGCTATCCATGTCTTGTTGATGAAATGGGTTGACTGGTCTGTTGTCAACAATGCTTTGGAGTACTGTGGACATTGCATTGTCCTCTCATGCCCTCAGTGACGGTCTCGGTAGTCCGGTTCCTGAGCCACGCGGCTCCACAGTATTCCAGGGCACTGCTGATGACAACATAGCCAGCCTGGCTCATCGGTAGAACCTGGATAGGCTGACCAGTCACTGGGGGCAGGGAGTCATCCCACTCAGTTCCTGTTAACCCTGCAAGCCACAGCCGTAACGGGTAGGGTGGTCCTAGTTAGACAAGCAGCAGGAAAGCTTGTCGGACAGCAATTTCAATGGCAAGCTATGCGGTTTTAGCTGGCTAGACTCCAGCAGTACCCCAAATTGTGCTTTGGCTCTTGCCAAACTGGGCCGTAATAGTTTCCGGAATTAGGTACGCAGGATGCACCCTCCAGAGAGAGAGCATTCCACTCCAACAATCTGTCTCTGAGATTTCCATGTGTAGCTGGGATGCATTGAAATCTCAACTTGGTTTGAATACTCTTAAGCATGGTGATGGATGGGTTTCTGCATGTGTCAGACACTCGGTTGACCAAAAAATAAATGACCACATGAGAGTTTGTGTTAAAATCAATTCCAGACTGGCAGTATTTAAAGTCTGCTTGTTTTATAATATATGATATATAATAATATAAAAATACTGGTTTTATTGGCTGAAAGGTTCAATGTGAAATGTATTTGGGGAATTGAGGCCACAGACATGTAACAAAAAATTAGCAATGATTTAGCACCGATTGACAATCCTGCTCAGAAAGGTTGTAAGGATACTGATATAGAAATTGAAAAAACATACTGTTGTGTATTAGAGGGTGCTCTTCTGAATTGCTCAGTAGCGCAGGGAAAGCTTTCTCCTACTATACTTAAGCTGGAAGTGCTTGTTCTTGAGATGTAGTGTTAAAGTGTTCAATTTCCCCAGCACTAACATTGCTCATCTTTATGAGCACAAAGATTTATTCCCTGGAATATTCTAAAGGAAGCTGTTCACTATTGTGCAGTGACACTGATTGAAAGGAAAGGCAACCTGGAGATGTGAGGGGGACCTTGTGGATCGTATTAAATTTATAAAATAAGGAAATGCAAATATTGTACAATGTGCCTTTCACAGGTTGCTCACAAAAAGATGGAGATTGAATACAGAATTTGTTTGATGACATTAAAGTGAAGAGTACAGTAGTTATAAAAATGGAAATTCTTCTTTTTTTAGGGAGCTGTGAGTCATAGTATCCTGGAAGGGTATTTATTTATAAATCGATTGAAAGATTCATAAGCAGAATGTGTATGAGTACTGACTATTCTAAATTGCTTGGAAAGATAAAATGTGCCAAGATCACTTGGATATACAACAGTTCAAAATGTAGTTGATGGACGAATAGTGCTCCACACAAGTTAGGTTAGAGAAAAGGTGTGGCAAGTTTGTTCTAACATAGTAAGCGTTTTAGTCAGGTGTGAACTATGGATCAATCTAGCATATCCATCAAAAAAAATCTAAAAGATTTCTTTGACACGTTTCTCAGTGTCTCATAGCCGTGAATCATTTTAGGAGCTTGCCGTTCCTTTTTAACCCTTTATAATTCCTTGTTTCACCACCTTTGCTGGTAGTACGTTAGTGATAATCAATCTTGCATTTGATAATAAGGGGCTATAAGATCAAAATAACATTTCACAAGAACAGTAATTGCTGTCAGGTGAAGTGACTGTTCATTTGTAGGCAAATGTGGCAGCTATTTTAAGCACAGAAGAGACCCACAAGCAGCCAATGAAATGAATGACTAATGTATCTGGAGGATTGTTGGTTGGGTCACTAGGAGAAAATCCCTTCTATTTTTGAACATGTGATCTTTTGTGTCCATCTTAAGCAAGTAGACAGGACCTCTGTTTTATGACTCATTTGATTTCAAGATCCTCATCCTCACCTACAAGGCCATTCACGGCCTTGCTCCCTCCTACCTCTCTAACCTACTATCCCCCTACCTACCTGCCCGTAACCTCCGTTCCTCTGGCTCCGGTCTGCTCCACGTCCCCCGCCCCAACCGCCCTACCATCGGTGGTCGGGCCTTCAGCCTCTCAGCCCCCAGGCTCTGGAACTCCATCCCCCAGTGCCTTCGCCGCTTCCTCCCTTTCCTCCTTCAAGGCCGGTCTCAAAACCTTTCTCTTTGACCGTGCCTTCAGCTCCCCTCTCGACTCTCTTCCCCCTCCTCGCTCCCTCCCTTCCCTCCCCTCACCCTGACCATTTCCCCCCTCCTCGCTCCCTCCCTTCCCTCCCCTCACCCTGACCATTTCCCCCCTGCTCGGGTCATGACCCAACTGTGCAGCGCCTTGGGACGTCCTCCTGACGTGAAAGGCGCTTTATAAATGGAATCTTGTTGTTGTTGAAGGAGGGATTTTGCTTTTATGGATAGTGTAAGTTTCACATTTATGTTTTGCTGCAGATTCACACTTTAGGGTTAAAGTAGAAGATGATACAGAAGCTGTAATATTCGATGGAGCTGAAATGGTTGATATTCAGAATGGTTCACCTTCCTTAGCTCCTGAAGATCAATCACAAGTGAATTACCCAAAAGATATCTAGCTGCAGTTGCTTATGGTAAGAAAATCCTATACCATCTGTTAGTGAAGACTGCTGTGGTTTTAATCCCATAAAGTTAATTTCATTTTGTGAAGAAAACATTCTCCGACAGTATGGTTTTAAATTTGCTTTCATACACGTTGAACTTTATTAATTTTAGACTACTGCATACAGTTCTGGTCACCACAGCATAAAAGGGGCTATCCAGGCCTGAGAAGCAGTGCAGAGGAGAATAATGAGGATGATCTCTAGTGTTAGAGGAATGAGCTATGAGCAACGATTAGACAAGTTTGAGCTTTTCAGTCTTGACAGAAAGTGACTCAAAGGGGACCTATAACATTTTAAATGGGATTGAGAAAGTAAACCCAGATCAACACTTCAGGGTGCACCGAGAACAAGAGTTTGGATACCAGGATATTTTTCTTTACTCTGAGGGTAATTACCAACAGGGGCAGGCTGTCCAGAAGAATGGTGAAGCCAGAACATTGAACTCTTTAAATAGCAGCTTGAAACTGTAATGGGGAACTCTGGAGGGAAGAGATCAGATGAGCTGAAGGGCCTTCTTCATCCAAACCAATGTTTTGATCTAGGTTTTATAGTTCGGTTACCTTTGGGTTGTTCAGGCTGGAAGAGGTTTCTAACTATTTTATCTTCACGTTTTTCAGTAAAGAAACCAGAAGAAGAAGATGCATCGAATGTCTCTAACATTAATACCGTGGAGTCTTCAGGAAACCTGCAACAAGAGTGCCTTTCTATCAGAAGCAATGTTTTACCTGCTAGCACAACACAAGAGGACAGATGGAGTGGAGGCCAGTACTGTTATAGTTACAGGCCAAAAAGACGAAAAATATCAACACTTATCCATAATGTGGTATGTAATAGTAAGCGTGAGAATAGAACTGATTTTAACAATTACTTTTAATTTCAAATCATGTGATTCTGCTGCACGACTTAGCCATTAGAAAGAGTGTTCATTCTATGATTAAGTGTTCTACTGTTGACGTTTGATCAAAGTAAAGCTCAGCCTTACCTGATCCCTGCATTTCTCAGGCTGTGAGCACTAGAGGGATGATTGCCTCCTGGTATATACATTTAACAGCAGCTTGCACTTATAAAACACCTTTTGTGTAGTTGAGAGTCTGCTCATTTTGCAGAGCTGGGCTGGGGGCTTCAGCAGGGTGGGAGATAGGGAAGGATGGGAGGGAGTTTACTGAAGGGAGTCAGAGTATATTTTTAATAGTGTTTTGAAAGCAGAAAGAGTCGTTGCAAGGCAGGGGATTTAAGGAAAAGGTTATTGAGATTGGAGGCAAGATAGCTGAAGGCTCTTGCTGATGAGGAAGGAGGGAGATTAGAATGGGGGTTTGTAACATAGAGGAGACAAAAAAAATTCTTGCTCACTGAGGTATGTAACTTTATCGATCTTTAGATGACATGATAATCCTTGCATTTGATATAGCACCTTTCACATGAAAAGGCTGTCTCAAAGTGCTTTATGGGGTTTTACTGTAAATTGCAGTGACTGTATTTTGAGAGTGAGATGCCTGTTAATGAGGAACATAATGGCATTTTGCTTCACTTCCGCTGAGCATTCTCCACTCATTCTCTTCACAAGAGATTAGTATTTAAATGAGAAGCAATTGAATAATTAAAAGTGCGAACCTGTTCTGTAATTAGCAGAAATTGAGGGGGAAAGTGGTTCAGTGATGGAAATTGGGAGATTCAAAGCTCCAAAGGCTTTTGTTTTAAAATGTCCAACCTGATTTAAACATTTCATTTGAAGGCATTTTAAAGAGCTCAATAATAATGGAAGAAAGTATGTTCGTCAACTTGATTTTAATTTATAGACTCTGCTCTCATTGTTCCAGGGTCAGAATCATATTGTAGTTATTGTGATTCTTATCAATGTGTTGTATTTTATGTCAACTCTATAGACCTTGATTTAATGCTGGAAACATTGCCTTTACCTTGTTAGATTATAATAGTGCCTCCTTCATAAATCCTTCTTTACTAAGCAGTTTGTGTAAATTACAGCCTGAAGAGAACACCAGGGACTCTGGAGATTACACACAATATGAAGAAAATGGAGACCATGTTTATGATTACAATCCTGACTATGAGTGTGTGAGTAATCCAGTCTTACTGGAATTCTGCTTAAATAAAGGATGTAGTTCACAATACACTTGTTAACTGAAATTGTAAATCAGGAATATAAAATATTATTATCACAGTTGAGCATTGATCACCCAGAATTAGAGTGTTTTATAAATGTTGGCAGATTCAGGCTTTTTATTTTACAAACAAGGCTGCTCTGGTCAGTAACGGAATTGTGTCTTTCAGACAGCAGTCACTGCCGATGCAGCTGATTTTGTCTGGGACAGCAATAGAGGCACTACAATTGGTCTTTGCCCAGGGATAGAGAGGGGAAAACATTCTGCCACAGTTCTCTCTGATGATCACTGTGCTGGAAAGTGTACGTATGATCATCGAATGAGGTTAGAATTGGGCGGTGGGAGGAGGGGGAAGAATATTAGAGGAAGCAAAATTATAGTTCTTCCCATTTTTCTTGGGCTGGGAAAATAAGGAAGTGATTTGCTACTAGGCCAAAAGCCATTTAGTGGAAGTGAAAAGCCACTATAGCCAAAAAGCTTCCTTGATTCTGACCACTGTCCACCTACTCGCCCTATTTACAATCCCTTCTCACTACAGAAATGAATCTAATTCCCTCCTGGGCCCATTGGTACTATACACTTAGATGGTTTCTATTACTTAAAGCTGTTATAGCTCTGCCTGAGTTCTTCTTAACTTCCTCATCTGTAAATTGTGTCACAGAATCCTTTACCAATTTGTCTGGGATATCTCTTATATATATAAAAAAATTGGAACATTTCAATCAAGCCTCAAAATCACTTATTTTTCAAAGAAAACATAAGCTTTTTTTAATGCAATACAAAATTACATTTTTATAGCGCCTTTCAAGTCAGGAGGATATCCCAAGGACTGGGGACGTCCCATTAATCATTCCTTATAGTTTAACATCCTGATACCCAGAATCACATTTGTTGGTTTGACAGTACAGCTTTACAAGGGTCCAGATTCCTGACTATCCAGCACCTGGGGACGTCCTCCCGACGTGAAAGGCACTATACAAATGTAATTTTGTATTGTAATAATATCCTCAAGAGAAGCTGTAGCAAATTGGGCACGATTGTGTGCATTCCAATTTGAGCTGTTGGATCAGCAGACCATGATGAGTGAAGTGATACCAGCTAATCAAAGGTGCTTCTTTCTCTTTGACCATATCATCCAACACAGTTTTATTCTTGAAATGTAGCTATCAGCAAGTGCACGCAACCCTCCTAATAATGTCACACAAAAACAGGAACAAGGGAAACTTTCAAGCAGATTAGATGGTTGGGCAGTCACAATTTGTAAGACTTGTTTGTACAGTGTTATTGTACCTTAAAGAAAGGAAATTATTTTTGTTCTAAAAAGAGGGCATTAGTTATAATGGCCCTTTTGAATCAGTGTATCCAAAATATCTATACGTCAAAATTAAATACAACAACAACTTGCACTTATATAGCGCCTTCTACATAGGGTAGCGGCTTGGAGCACTTAAATATCATAGTACATGCTCCAGTTCAAAACCTAAATCCTGATTGAGTTCTTTTTCCATATTCCTCTGCACTCTCTCTCTCTCTCTCTCCCTCCTCACTCTTTCTAAGCAGACCTTACCCATTCATGGCTGAAGTCTGAAATGTTATGGGTAGTTGGTGCTACTAACCTACATCCTATTGCTTCATGGCAATATATGTTGATTGAACAATGGTCTACATTATTTAGCAATAGGAAAAAACACTCACAGTAAAGATCACCCCAGTCCTTGCCAGACTGCACTGGCTGCCTATCCCAGAGAGGATCGACTTCAAGATCCTCACCCTTGTATTCAAGTCCCTGCACTCCTCTGCACCCCCCTACCTCTCTGACCGCCTCTCTCCTCAAAACAGTACCCGTTGCCTCCGTTCCTCCGGATGTGGCCTCCTCCTCGTCCCCCGAGTCCTCTGCTCCACCCTCGGTGGCCGTGCCTTCAGCCACTATGCCCCGAGGCTTTGGAACTGCCTTCCTCACTCCCTTCGTCTCGCTCCCTCCCTTCCCATTTTCAGGTCTCTGCTGTAGACCTTTCTTTTCGACCGCGCCTTTGGTCACCTTCCTCTCCTCCCCCTGGCTCGGTCCCGGGATCCGTTACTGTAAAGTGCTCTGAGACGCCGTCCGGCATGGAGGGCGCTATATAAATCCAAGTTGTTGTTGTTGCCTGATGCTCAGAGAATCAACAGACCATCTTTTGAACATTTTTGATCTGTGTATTCGTAGTAATTTGATCCATCTCACCACACAGGCCAGTGAAGCGTCCGAAGGGTCTTATGTTGCAGATCAACAGAGGACTCTGGTGGAGGTTCTTAATTACTGCCAGGTAATGGGTAGTTCTTTTATTATCTAAATTAGTTCTCAGCCTTTTAGTTACTCTTAACAGTTTAATCCTCATCTCCATTCTCAGATAGGGAAAAATGTAGGTGTTTTGCTAAACCCAAAAGATTTAAAATGTTGTACCTTGGAAAACAGGTTTGGTTGTTTCTTCATCTATGTAGTATGTTTTGAATTATATTTAATTATTAGGGGAGGGGGTTATTTTGCTCTTCTCTAATGTTATTCGGTCATCTACCTAACATTCTGCCTTATTAAGGATGTACTCTTGATTCCCTAGGACACTGTTATTTAAGATTACATTTCATTTGTACAGTTGAAGACAAAAGATGGAGCCAATCCTTTCCCTGAGCACTCACTCACTAGACTCATCACTCAACAATAGGAGAAAAGAGAGCTTGTATAAAACTCTTAATTATGTAATATGGGTTATTCACACCACTTGGCTTAAATGGACATTATCAAATCTTGTAACAAACCCAGTTATCAAATCAGGACATACTTCATGTTAGTTTAGGAAATTAATAATCGAGGTAGTAATGTATCCTAAATGCACCTAGTCTATTCTCCAGTTTGATATTGTAACTTTACACAGTTAATGTCATATGTTGTGCTATTACCTTGTCCATCATGTTTGATGCCTGATGCAAAAAAAACCACACACCTGTATACACTGTTGAATACTCTATACAACGTCTTTGTTTTCCGTCAGGTCATGTATGCTGCTATCCAGAGACTAGATAAGAAATTTGATGTCCTTTATCGTAGGGTCACAGAGATGCAGCAAGGAAGGGGGAAACCCATGTTTTTTGAACCGGTGAGTACTGATGTAATCGATGCATCAAGAATAAGGTGCATTGTATTTTTTAGGCAAATACTGAAAGTATGTAATTTTTTGTGGATTAGCTGGATTAATAGCCTGGTTGAACCTTTTTCATTCTATCTGAAGTCATTTTGTGGTTTAACTCTCATCTTCCTATCACATAATTTTTGGTCCTTTAAAAGTGGTCACCTCTGTTTGAAGATTCCTCATTTAAAATTCTAACGCTTATTTTATTATTATTTTTTTTTTCCTTTCACCCATCCAATCATCCTGGCCTAAATATAGATATTGTAAGAATTCACTCATTAGTGCACCTGACTGTGCCCACATGGAATTTCCCTGTCCCTCTGCTAACATATTTCTTCATGTACAAGGAGCAACAACAACAACAAATTGCACCTTTCACGTCATGAGGATATACCAAGGTGCTGGATAGTCAGGGGTTTACACCCAAGAATTTCTATTGCATTTTTTGGGAAATTTCTAAATTTAAAATCATATGTTAGACTGACCACACAGCAGTGCGTGCCAAATACCAAGTCCTCAAAGCTCATGTGTGTGTGTGTGTGTAGCATTTGGCAGGATTTGGCAGATGTTGCTGTGTGTTTGGCCCACCTTATATTTATTTAAAAACTGATCCTAGCATCCAATATACGATTTTAAATTGAGAAAAATATCAAAACAGGAATTCCAGGATACGCTGGAGCAAGGTTCTCACCCCCCTCCCATTCTCAATCCCTTCGAGTATCCATGAGAACAATTTCACAAACAGAAACCCATAACCATGCTTAAAGAGTACCCAAAGCAAACTGATTTCCGTGCCTCCCACCATTACATGGAAATTCCTATGTATTGAAATGGAATGCGCACTCTCTCTCTCTCTCTCTACATCCTGGTTACCTAATTCCAGAGAGTATTAGGCGCAGGCAGGCAAGAGCCAAACCTTGGGGACTCCAAAGTGCACGTTGGAGTACTGCTGGAGTTTAACCAGCTAAAACTGCGTAGGTGTGGTTCAGTAATCGATTCGTGAGACTGGATTACTCATTCAGTTCAAATGGAATTTGTGAATTCCATTATTTAATTTGACTGCCAGGTAACTTACTCTGAGTAAAAAGCTGTATTCCCACTAACCAGCAGTTGCCTACTGTGATCTGGCCTCGCGAACAGTAGCATCGCAAACTTTCTCAAGTAGAACTGATCGTATTTAATTTGTTTCGCTATAGAATTATTTTTTTAAAAAAAAGAAAGATATTTAGTTTCCAAATATAATAATGTTCAAAAGGATCCACGCTTTTAATTCTGATTTGCAGAGAGTTATGACGGTGTCCTATGGAAATACCCACCAGATGCCGCTGAACCAAATGAGGAATCAAAAGCCAGTGGAAAGAGAAGTGAGGATCCGAATGCCGCCACCTGATCTGGGGTCACGTTCTTCCCCAGTCCGGATACGAGTGCAGAAGGAACCGATGAAAGTCACCATTCCAGCCAAGGGTGTCCACTCCACTTCTCAGGCGCAGAGCCTGTATACCTGCCGAGCAAGAAGAAGCCCACCTCTGCCCACTATTCACTCTGTCCAATCTTTAAAAGAACCGACAATGCAGTATTCTCCCGCTACTGGGATGCCTGACTTTACCCAAGGCAACACTATTCTAGTGCAAGACAGCAGGGTGCATGTTTCCTCTGGTACCAATGATATTGTCAGTTCCACTGCAAGGCACTACCCAGATGGAAGCTTTCTGCAGGAAACATTGGATAACATCAACACTCTGAATGATCCCAGGAGGCAAAATAGCTTTTCTAAGGCTGAAGAACTTCCTTCATCGTCGAGTGCAGCCAGTATGAGTTTTGGTGGGTAAATGGAGAGACTTCTGCACCACTAAGTTTGATTCAACCACTAAGCTGAAGGTTCTGCTCCCGGTCTCCACGTGCGAGTTTTGGCTGCCACCTCTGACCCAAGCTGCTCGCCCTGAAAGTGACCCCCCCTTTTACTCCCCACCCTCCATTACACCCAATCAGTACTTCTCCCACTGCCATCGTCGCCTTCTCTCCCGGAGCCCATCACTGCCTCCCTCTGCTCCAGCCCAGCCATCCTCCGCCAGGCCCCTTGTGGCTCTCGGCTATGGTTGTTCCAAAGCAGCCACCCCAACTGTCCCATCACTCACTCTTAAGCACTCTGGGACGCTCTCCTGCGTGAGGGGTGCTATATAAATACAAGTTGTCGTTGATTTGTTTTATATATTCAAAGGGTTTAATTTGAAAATTGCAGTGGGTGAGCTTGGTTTTGAATTTTCCTGATCATTTTATGTCCTGTGTCAGTTTGAGCAAATGCTGCTAAATACTTCTGTGAGGCTTAAACTGTGTTTTACACCAAAAGGGGTTTTGGAATACCACACTTGTGTTCTATTTTTGGTAGAATGGCAGTGTGATTGTGGGATTAGTTATAATGCAGGAAGGAAACTATAACCTGCTTATTTGTTTTAATTAAAATAACTCTCTCCCCCCCCACACCCCACCCCCCCCCCCCCCCCACACACACACACACCTGCACTTTTTTTGTAATTGGGTATTAGTTTTTTTTAAGAAACCATATATTTTAAAGCCAAAACTTCTTACACAAGCAATTTCTACTCTTGCATTTTCAGAATATTTGGGTGACCTCAGCCGCAATGTAAGGGTGCCAGCAGCCTTCCTAATGAAGGCCCGACAGAAAACAAAGCCAAAGTACGTAGCGCGTTACCTCATTCGCACGATGTTTCCAAAGGAGACGCTGATGTACAGTAATATGCAAGGTGACAGAGCGAGGGCAATAAAACCATTGGATTCTAACAAGATCGCCGCATTAAGAGGTGAGCTTTTCTCTGATCGATGAGTAGTTGTCTCAAGTAGTCTTGATTTTCCCTTGTGATATGTCACTATAGAATTACATAGATCATTACAAGCACAGACACAGGCCATTTAGCCCAACTAGTCCACGAGTGTTTAACTCGACATGAGACCCAGCTCTCCTAGTCCCCTCTCCCCAAACACCTCTACTCCCTTTTCCCTCATGTATACTGGTTGTGGATTAGCAACATGTGAATACATATTGTTGCAAAGGACGGAAAACCTAGTGTCGAAATTCCAGCAAATAATTTTTTTTCTGTGATTTTGTTTTATTAAAAAGGAATATTATATTTGTTTGCTACCTGTGGGAGGGATAAAAAGTCAGCACCTATCTAATTCTCTTCTTTTTATGACAGTTAGAGGCACCTACCACTAAAGATAATTCAGTACAAAGTCAATTTAGTAAAAGATTTGTGTTTGAAATATAAGCCATGACTAATACAGCATCTTTCTTCCCCGAAGTTACAAAAGCAGCTCAATGTTCCTCTTGTGTCAGCTTGGCTCAGTTTGTAGCACTCTTGCCTGAGGGTTAGAAAGTATTTGGTTCATGTCCAATGCCAGAACATGAGCTCATAACCTAGGCTGTCATTCCAGTCCAGAGCTGGGCGAGCTACAGGATCTTCATTGCCACAGGAGCTGTCCAAACTCTGAGACATCAAAGCGAGATCCTGTTGCAGATTATGCTAACTGTTAAATTATATCTGTATGCAATGCAGGGAATAGAACATTTTGAATTGTATTTAGTGACCACTAATTCCTTGCTTTACAATTGTCCTGTATTTTCTTCCTAGAGTTTCTTTGTATGCTTTTTCCAACCTATGATTTGAGTGAACAAGGCAAAGACTGGAAGATTTGTGTCTCCAATGTAAATTCCATGATACGTAGCCTGCGCTGTGAAATCCGAAGAGGAGCAGTAAGTAGTGTCAACAAAGAATAGTTTGAGTGCATTAGTGGCAACTACACATCAGATTGGTTTGGGTGTATGTTGGAGAACAGATAAATGTATCCCGAAATGTTTTTTTCGTCTTAATCGACCAATCCATTTCTGTTTGCTGTACATCAGTGGTGACTAACCTCTCTTGTTGGCCAACAAAATCAATGTTTCTTGATTGAATATTCCTTGATTTACGGCATAAATCTATGCTATTTTGTTATTTCTATGATCGTTTTGTTGTCCAACCATAAAGGTTGGCCACCACTGCTGTACACAAACGTTAAATAACTCTCAGGGAGAAGGGAGTTCCAAACCTGCTGAGGAATTTAGATGGCCTCTGACCCACAAGAAGGAAATCCAAGCATAAATAAATGTGAACTATACTAAGATTCTCCTATTGTGTTAAATCCCCCGCTTCCTGCCTCTGTGGGTGTTTGTGGTGGTGATTCTTTTATGACTATGTTTACTTTCTGAGCAACATACCAATATTCGGTTTCAAGACCTTGTGAAATAACATGTGATGTAAGCAAACTGCACAATAATCATGTGAATGCTTTCACAAGATTATTTTTTTCCAAGCCCACTACTGGCTTATTCCCCATACTGTGCATTTAATTTCACTTTGCTGTGTAACATGCACAAATCATTTGATACTATTTTGGTTATCTTACAAACCAGGATGAGCACAGGGGGTCGACTTCATGCCCCATTTGGATAAGAGCATTTGGTAGGTGTTTTGCTGTCTGACGTCTTGTGAACATAATTGCTATTTTTGAAAATCTTTTTTTCCTCTTTAGTTTTTACCCTCGTTCTTCCCTGGCTTGGAGGTGGTAACTCCTACTGTGACAGTAGTACCTCATTAGTACATTGCTCAGTTGGCCATTCTTTATATGTGAGCCTGAACATTGAGTTGGTAGGCAGTTTGACTATTCCAAAGCTTGACATCCATAGACCTACTACACATGCACTTCTAATAGGGATCCATGGATAACTATCAGAAATAGGAAACTTTGTTATTATTTGTTTGTAACTTTTTTTATTTGTCATTTTCAAAAACAAACAGAACAATGCTAATGAGACACAATTCTAAGGTACATTTCCTTTTGAGATACCTGGGATTTGGAATGCAATGCTACGTAGGGTGGTAGAGGCAGAGGCCATTGTGGGTTTCAAGAGAGAAGCAGACAGATGTATGAAAGTTATAGGCTTGATAAGATACTGGTATATAGTGGGGCAGTGGGATTGAATAGCTTGCTCTGAGAGCCAGCGCAGACTTGATGGGCTTTCTTCTGTTCTGTAAATTTCATAGAATCTTACACGTACATCGTGCCTGTGCTGGCTCTTTGAAAGAGCTATCAATGCTGCCAATCCCTCCCCATAGCCTTGCAATTTTTCCACTTAAAGTAAAAATCCAATTTCCTTTTGAAAGTTATTATTGAATCTGCTTCCACCACCCTTTCGAGCAGTGCATTCCAGATCGTAACAACTCCGAATTTCTAGGATTCTGAAAGTTCACATCATGATTTTATGATTTAACCACTAAGCCCATTCAGGAAAGCTGCAGGTTTGGGGTGGTGGGAGGGAACCAGACACACACACAACCAGCATGGAAGTTCAGAGTTCTATGAATAATTCCAAAGGACTTATTTAATTCCTTAATATGAGTCAAGAGGCCTTGCCTATTGCTGAGCAGGTTGGCAAAGAGAGAAAGAAATGAAAGTGGAATTCAGGCAAACAAGGGAAATATTCTTGTGACTGGAAGACGGTGAGAATAATCTCTTCCCAGCCTGGAGATGCTAAGGCCAGTTCACCAGCCACCAACACGATCGAAGGTTGCTCAGTGCTGCATCGCATGTTCCAGTTACCGATTGAGCCTGGGTGAGAGGTGTTTTTGTGATAGTTTTATAATGTATAATTTTCTTTGTCAAGTTCACTTGCCTTCATTTGGTAAAATGGAAAACCTTATTGCATTCGGTCAGAAAACATCTGACAGATGATCCTTCCAATCATTTCTGTCCTCTGGTCGTTTCTCACCTGCATATTGTCACTCTGTCTGAGTGACAATATGCTTGTCTTGTTCTCTGTCTCTTTGTGTGTGTGTGTCTCTCTCTGGACTTTTCCTGCCTCTTCTATTTTATCATTACCACAGTATTCATTGTTCTTCTGAACATTTCGCCTTCATTCATCCAAGCTTCACATATTTCTTAATAATAATCCCTGCCTACTCTGCTCCCCTCCCTGTACCCTCACTGTTTGAAATCCGGGTATGTTGTGCTGCTTTAGTTTGTTCTTACACAGCACCTCAGGTCTGTACAGCTCCTTACCTCCCTTATACTTCGATTTGTCCTACTATCTACAGGCATTTAAACTCTAAACTTGGCATCACCTAACTCCTTCTTGACTTATTGTGTTTCTCTGCTGTTCTTTAATGTTGGTGTCCTGCACTGTAGGTTATAGCCCTGCACTTAGCGATGCTCAACATAAACCCGTCAAAAAACCTATCAATGGTCAATGCTTCTTTTTAATAGCCATCTATGTCCAAATCTTTTGATCATCCCTACTGAGTAATTTATGTGGTAAACGTGTCGAGTTGAATGTGCAATTCATGGAAATACTTGAGTTAGATTCTGTATTTAAAAAAAGTAAAAGTTACATTTTTAACACCATAGAAGGGGTTTCTGCAATAATCCATATATCTACTTAAAGTGATTCAGGGCTTTATGTATACTCTGTTTAAGAATATATTCCTGTGATTTGTTTATCTTTGATTTAGATAGTTTCAGTCAAAAATATTAGTTCATGTTTTTGACTTTTAAGCCTGTTGTAGTTGTATAAAGTGCTGCATGTTTATTTTCTCACAAGTATATTAAACTTACTTTCAATATATTCACTGTTTAAGTCATTTACTTCAATGTGTGACTTGTGGTACCATAACTCCCCAGACACAAAACATCATTGTAGATTTGTTTGCCTTTCCTTTTCTCCCATTTTAAAGGCAGTGATACAATACCTGTATTCCAGTTTACAATGTCCATGTTTCTGATCAGGCATCAACATGTAATAATATAATAATAATCCTTGCATTTGATATAGCGCTTTTCACATCGCTTCACTGTAAAGTGAATTGACTGTATATTTGTGGGCGACCACGGCAGCCAATTGCGCACAGCAATGTCCCACAAACAGTCGTAGATTGAAAATGACCAATTTATTATTGTTTTTGGTTTTGGAGGGATTATTAGTAGGCGTGTGGAGTAAGGAAACTTGCCCAAGGTTTCGCCCTGCCCTGCCTTGGAATTGAACTGCACTGGTACTTTAAGTTATTGGCTGCTGGATTTGCAATTACTCATATGAAAAATATATAAGTCTGGTTGAGCTCTTAGATAGTCGAGGTAATACCCTGCTATCAAATGGGGGGATAATAATAATATTGAAGCTTTCAAACCTAAGATTGTTTTTTGCACCTCCTGGTGGTTTGTGTACCTCTTACTGGATCGAATTCAAGATCCTTACCCTCACCTACAAGGCCATTCACGGCCTTGCTCCCTCCTACCTCTCCGACCTACTATCCCCCTACCTACCCGCCCGTACCCTCCGTTCCTCTGGCTCCGGTCTGCTCCACATCCCCCGCCCCAACCACTCTACCATCGGTGGTCGGGCCTTCAGCCTCTCAGTCCCTAGGCTCTGGAACTCTATCCCCCAGTGCCTTCGCCGCCTCCTCCCTTTCCTCCTTCAAGGCCGGTCTCAAGACCTTTCTCTTTCAGCTCCCCTCTCGACTCTCTACCCCCTCCTCGCTCCCTCCCTTCCCTCCCCTCACCCTGACCATTTCCCCCCTCCTCGCTCCCTCCCTTCCCTCCCCTCACCCTGACCATTTCCCCTTTGCTCGGGTCCTGACCCAACTGTACAGCGCCTTGGGACGTCCTCCCGACGTGAAAGGCGCTCAATAAATGGAATCTTGTTGTTGTTGTTGGTTCCTTATAAAGAAGCAGTAGCAAAGGTCTGCGAGCAGGTTACCATTTCCAGGAACAGCAGGGAGGGTGAGGGGGCAGAATGGCCAGAACAACAACAACAACACAATTACATTTGTATAGCGCCTTTCACGTCTGGAGGACATCCGAAAGTGCTGGACAGACAGAGTTACGGACCCGAGCTGAGGGGTGGGGTGGGGAAGGGTGGAAGGCAGGGGGGAAGTAGGGTGATCGAAAGCCCAGTCGAAGAGGAAGGTCTTGAGGTGGATCTTGAAGGTGGTGAGGGAGGCGTCAAGATGGAGGGGCTGCGGGATGGAGTTCCAGAGGGTGGGTGCAGAGTGGCGGAAGGCCCACCCTCCTATAGTGGGCCGAGCAAGGCGGAGAACGTGAAGCAGGCTGGAGCCTGCTGAGCGGAGGGAGCGAGCAGGGTGGTAGGGGGTTAGGAGGTCGGAGAGGTAGGGAGGAGCAATATCGTGGAGGGCTTTGAAGGTGAGGACCAAGATCTTAAACTGTATCCTCTGTGTGATGGGAAGCCAATGGAGTTGAGCAAAGATAGGGATGATAGGGTCGCAGAGCCTAGTGCAGGAGAGAACACGGGCTGCAGAGTTCTGGGTGATCTGCAGCCTGTGGAGGGAGGAGTTGGGGAGGCCGACAAGCAGTGAGTTTGCATAGTCGAGCCTCGACGTAATGAAGGTGTGTATGAGGGTTTCGGCAGCCTGCGGTGTGAGACAGTGTCAGAGCCGGGCGACATTGCGGAGATGGGCGATGTTTCAGAGATGGGGGAAAGTAGGGTGCATCATGGAGCAAAAGAAATTAATTTAGAGAGGGAAGAGAGAGAAGCCTTCTGAAAGTAGATCATAATAAATGACAGAGAGTACATTGAATTTATTATATTTTATTAGAATTTAGAGTGTATCCTTATAAACCTTACGATTGAATTATTTGTTGCCTTCCCAGTGCTGATCAGCAGTACTCTGAACTTCTGTATTATAAAGATTGCAAAGAATGCATAGCAAAGAAACAGGCCCCTCGGCCAAACCAGTCTTTATACTCCACACAAGATTCATCCATTCCTTACTCTCTCCCATACCCTTCTGTACCCCTCTCCCTCATATAAAGGTTTAGCTGCCTCTTGAATGCATCCTACGTTATCTGATTCAACCACTGCATTAAATGTAGAGCCCTAAGCTAGTAGAATT